GTTTATGAAAGCTAGTAGTCCCCTATAGTAAAAAATATTTTTCCAAAATTTTCTTTTGTATCAGAATTAGGTGCTTTTCAGGTGCTCCTAAATAGTCGAAGAAAAAATAGAATTGATTAATTATTAACTGAGTTACAGATTTTGTTTTTGATTATTAGGGGACTGCTGGCTTTACGTTTACATGTTGGTGTGTCAGAATGGAAAAATACTCGGAAAAAAACTTCGGGATCTATATAATAATTAGGAGCTTTTTAGGTGCTGATTAGGGCATCTAATTAAAAATTAGGTGTTCCTTTAGTTTTTGAGATAATCAAAAAAAAAAAAAAAAAACCAAAGGGACTGCTAGGTTAATGGAAACTAGCAGTCCTATAAAATAAAAAATATGTTTTTAAATTTTTCGTTTGTATCAGAATTAGGTGCTTTTTAGGTGCTCCTAAATAGTCGAAGAAAAAATTGAAGCGATTGATTATTAACTGAGTTAAGGATTTTTTTTTTCATTATTAGGGGACTGCTGGCTTTACGTTTACTAGTGGTGTGTCAGAATGGAAAAAAACTTCGAAATCTTTATAATAATTAGGGATAAACAATTTGGTTTTCGTCAAAAGAGATCCACATCAGAGTATGCCATTCTTAAACTTACATCCAATTTATATGATGCTCTGGATAAAAATATTCCTGCACTATGCATCTTTATAGACTTATCGAAAGCCTTTGACACAGTTAATCACGAAATCCTACTGAAAAAACTTGAAATTTACGGAATTTGGGGAATTGCAAAAAAACTTATAGGAAGCTATGTACTTAAAAAATAGACGACAGACTGTGAAGGTGAACAGCGTGCAAAGTTCCAGTAGGGAAGTTGTTTGCGGCGTGCCCCAAGGTACAGTTTTGGGCCCACTTTTATTTATAATTTATGTAAATAGTCTTTCAAAAATCACTAGCCTTGGTGATATTATTAGTTACTGCGATGACACAGTGATTTTTTACAGCGCGAATACGTGGCAAGATTTAAAAACAATAGCAGAAAGAGACTTTCTCAATATTTCAAATTGGTTTAAGAGTAATAAACTTTCACTTAATGTCCAAAAAACCAAGTATATAAGTTTCACCTCATACAAAGATAAGCTCCCTAAAATTGGATCATTACAGGTAAATCAAGAGATAGCAATTCCCGAAACTGAAAGTATTAAATATTTAGGCATTATCTTGGAGCAAAATCTAAAATGGAATCTACATGTTAAACACGTCACCCAAAAAATTAGATCTTTGATATCCAAATTTAAATACTTAAAAAACTATTTGGACATAAAACACCTTATTGTTATATATTACTCATTGGTACAGTCACAAATTAACTATGGAATAACAGGATGGGGAGGAGCAAGAGATTGGCATATTCGACAGCTAAATATAGTGCAAAAATGGCTAATTAAAGTCATATTTGAGAAAAACAAAATTTTTCCTACAGATCTCTTATTTAAAGAATCAAAACTTTTTGATATTAGACAACTATACATTTTCAATCTATTAATATGTATACACAAAAATAAAATTTGTATAGACTCACCTACTCATACACACGCTACAAGAAATCGCGAAAACCGGGTACAAGTACCAAGAAAACAAAAGATTATTGGACAAAGACATTTTCAATATATAGCGCCAAAAGCATTTAATCTACTACCAAAATCTGTACAAAATTTAGTCAAAAAAGGAACATTTAAAGGTAAAGTTAAAAATTGGATCCAGGAATCAAACCGCCAGGTACTACCTGATTTAGTGAATAATAGATGGAATAAGGGGGGGTAAGTTACATTGAAAAGGAAAATTATTGTTCGTTATACCTTGGCCCTGATTTTATTTATTGTTTATTATTTTTGAGCGATTTTATTATTTTTTTATTTTTATTTTTTGTGCTTTTTATGATTTGGCAGACCCTGAACTAGACATTTACACAACCCGATTTTGACAATATTTCCTGATTATGACACTTTTACCCAAATTAGACACCCCTAAACCAAATTGTGACCAAATATTTCTCATCACTAACAAGCTGCAAATAAGTGCAGCTTCTGTGATTTTCGTTTATTTGTACCCTAGTTAATATGGATGTTATTAGATAATATTATTTATTTATGTTATTTTGGTATAATAAACGTATATTTATTATTATTATTATTTATTTATTTCTCAGTGTGTTCGTTTTGTATCTTTTTCCATCTCACATTATAGTTGGTCCCGTTCTTTTAATTTTTCAATATACCTACGCATTTGTTACCCATAAATTATAATTTCTCACTTTTATCGTAATCTGCTTAGTACATTCTTTTTTTGTATTTTTTATAAAAACTGCCAATGTCTCAAATTTATTACTATTATTCTCATCTATGTTTTTCTGTACCCTGTACCTTGATTTTCCATTTTCTGGTGTCCAGTGTATTTTTTGTTTAGTATTTTCAACTATGATTTTTTTTTGACCTCCAAAAATATGATTCTATGGTCAGAAATATTGTGATCTTCTAATTTTCATGTTACATTGTATATTTCTATTAGTTATTATATGATCAAGTATGGTGGCTGTGGTTGCTGTTGTTCTTGTGGCATTTTGACGACTGATTATATTATGAATTTTGTATCCATTCATCTCCACCATATTTTTATATTTGGTAACTACCTGTGAATTTTTTAGGAAATTTAGGTTAATGTCACCAATAAATATACAGGGATTTTTTATGTTTTAGAACAGTTTATCCACTTCTTGTATAAATAATTTGCTTTTGTTTTTTGTTAGGTCTATATACATCAAAGAATGTCATGTTTTGCTGTGGTAAATATACAGAAACCATGCTACAATAATTTAAAGAGGTAGGTACCATCGTCACCAAAAGTAACTGGGACAGCATCACATTAGCTCTTGTCCTATTATATGAATTTTATTGTCAAATATTTGTCAAACTATGAATATAATGCATTGAAATGAATGACAGTAGAATTAGTCCAGGAGATTATTAGGCATTATTTGTGTCCCAGATACTTTTGGTGACGATGGTACCTACTTAAGGATGTGCTGTTCTCATTATTTTTTTAATCAAAACCATTGTTTAAAGGTCTATAAACCTAGCAGTCCCAAGGTGGAAAAAAACTTCGGAAGCTATATAATAATTAGGTGCTTTTTAGGTGCTAATTAGGGCCCCTAATTAAAAATTAGGTGCTCCTTTAGTTTTTGAGAAAATCAAAAAAAACTAAGGGACTGCTAGGTTTAGAAAAGCTAGCAGTCCCCTATAGTAAAAAATATTTTTCCAAATTTTTTCTTTGTATCAGAATTAGGTGCTTTTCAGGTGCTCCTAAATAGTCCAAGAAAAAATTGAATTGATTAATTATTATTAACTGAGTTAAGGATTTTTTTTTTTCATTATTAGGGGACTGCTGGCTTTACGTTTACTAGTGGTGTGTCAGAATGGAAAAAAACTTCGAAATCTTTATAATAATTAGGTGCTTTTTAGGTGCTTATCAGGGCCTCTAATCAAAAATAGGTGCTCCTTTAGTTTTTGATTTCCCCAAATATAGGGGACTACTAGCTTTCATAAACCTAGCAATCCCTTGGTTTTTTTTTATTTTCTCAAATACTAGAGGAGCACCTAATTTTTAATTAGAGGCTCTAATCAGCACCTAAAAAGTACCTAATTATTATATAGATCCCGAAGTTTTTTTGCCATTCTGACACACCAACATGTAAACGTAAAGCCAGCAGTCCCCTAATAATTAAAAAAAAATCTGTAACTCAGTTAATAATAATTAATCAATTCAATTTTTTCTTGGACTATTTAGGAGCACCTGAAAAGCACCTAATTCTGATACAAAGAAAAAATTTGGAAAAATATTTTTTACTATAGGGGACTGCTAGCTTTTCTAAACCTAGCAGTCCCTTAGTTTTTTTTGATTTTCTCAAAAACTAAAGGAGCACCTAATTTTTAATTAGGGGCCCTAATTAGCACCTAAAAAGCACCTAATTATTATATAGCTTCCGAAGTTTTTTTCCACCTTGGGACTGCTAGGTTTATAGACCTTTAAACAATGGTTTTGATTAAAAAAATAATGAGAACAGCACATCCTTAAGTAGGTACCATCGTCACCAAAAGTATCTGGGACACAAATAATGCCTAATAATCTCCTGGACTAATTCTACTGTCATTCATTTCAATGCATTATATTCATAGTTTGACAAATATTTGACAATAAAATTCATATAATAGGACAAGAGCTAATGTGATGCTGTCCCAGTTACTTTTGGTGACGATGGTACCTACCTCTTTAAATTATTGTAGCATGGTTTCTGTATATTTACCACAGCAAAACATGACATTCTTTGATGTATATAGACCTAACAAAAAACAAAAGCAAATTATTTATACAAGAAGTGGATAAACTGTTCTAAAACATAAAAAATCCCTGTATATTTATTGGTGACATTAACCTAAATTTCCTAAAAAATTCACAGGTAGTTACCAAATATAAAAATATGGTGGAGATGAATGGATACAAAATTCATAATATAATCAGTCGTCAAAATGCCACAAGAACAACAGCAACCACAGCCACCATACTTGATCATATAATAACTAATAGAAATATACAATGTAACATGAAAATTAGAAGATCACAATATTTCTGACCATAGAATCATATTTTTGGAGGTCAAAAAAAAATCATAGTTGAAAATACTAAACAAAAAATACACTGGACACCAGAAAATGGAAAATCAAGGTACAGGGTACAGAAAAACATAGATGAGAATAATAGTAATAAATTTGAGACATTGGCAGTTTTTATAAAAAATACAAAAAAAGAATGTACTAAGCAGATTACGATAAAAGTGAGAAATTATAATTTATGGGTAACAAATGCGTAGGTATATTGAAAAATTAAAAGAACGGGACCAACTATAATGTGAGATGGAAAAAGATACAAAACGAACACACTGAGAAATAAATAAATAATAATAATAATAAATATACGTTTATTATACCAAAATAACATAAATAAATAATATTATCTAATAACATCCATATTAACTAGGGTACAAATAAACGAAAATCACAGAAGCTGCACTTATTTGCAGCTTGTTAGTGATGAGAAATATTTGGTCACAATTTGGTTTAGGGGTGTCTAATTTGGGTAAAAGTGTCATAATCAGGAAATATTGTCAAAATCGGGTTGTGTAAATGTCTAGTTCAGGGTCTGCCAAATCATAAAAAGCACAAAAAATAAAAATAAAAAAATAATAAAATCGCTCAAAAATAATAAACAATAAATAAAATCAGGGCCAAGGTATAACGAACAATAATTTTCCTTTTCAATGTAACTTACCCCCCCTTATTCCATCTATTATTCACTAAATCAGGTAGTACCTGGCGGTTTGATTCCTGGATCCAATTTTTAACTTTACCTTTAAATGTTCCTTTTTTGACTAAATTTTGTACAGATTTTGGTAGTAGATTAAATGCTTTTGGCGCTATATATTGAAAATGTCTTTGTCCAATAATCTTTTGTTTTCTTGGTACTTGTACCCGGTTTTCGCGATTTCTTGTAGCGTGTGTATGAGTAGGTGAGTCTATACAAATTTTATTTTTGTGTATACATATTAATAGATTGAAAATGTATAGTTGTCTAATATCAAAAAGTTTTGATTCTTTAAATAAGAGATCTGTAGGAAAAATTTTGTTTTTCTCAAATATGACTTTAATTAGCCATTTTTGCACTATATTTAGCTGTCGAATATGCCAATCTCTTGCTCCTCCCCATCCTGTTATTCCATAGTTAATTTGTGACTGTACCAATGAGTAATATATAACAATAAGGTGTTTTATGTCCAAATAGTTTTTTAAGTATTTAAATTTGGATATCAAAGATCTAATTTTTTGGGTGACGTGTTTAACATGTAGATTCCATTTTAGATTTTGCTCCAAGATAATGCCTAAATATTTAATACTTTCAGTTTCGGGAATTGCTATCTCTTGATTTACCTGTAATGATCCAATTTTAGGGAGCTTATCTTTGTATGAGGTGAAACTTATATACTTGGTTTTTTGGACATTAAGTGAAAGTTTATTACTCTTAAACCAATTTGAAATATTGAGAAAGTCTCTTTCTGCTATTGTTTTTAAATCTTGCCACGTATTCGCGCTGTAAAAAATCACTGTGTCATCGCAGTAACTAATAATATCACCAAGGCTAGTGATTTTTGAAAGACTATTTACATAAATTATAAATAAAAGTGGGCCCAAAACTGTACCTTGGGGCACGCCGCAAACAACTTCCCTACTGGAACTTTGCACGCTGTTCACCTTCACAGTCTGTCGTCTATTTTTTAAGTACATAGCTTCCTATAAGTTTTTTTGCAATTCCCCAAATTCCGTAAATTTCAAGTTTTTTCAGTAGGATTTCGTGATTAACTGTGTCAAAGGCTTTCGATAAGTCTATAAAGATGCATAGTGCAGGAATATTTTTATCCAGAGCATCATATAAATTGGATGTAAGTTTAAGAATGGCATACTCTGATGTGGATCTCTTTTGACGAAAACCAAATTGTTTATCAGAAAGAACCTTAAATTTAGTGAAAAATTTCACTAATCTATATTTTAAAATTTTTTCGACAATTTTAGACAGATTGGAAATCAAAGACACAGGTCTAAAATTATTAACGTCATCCTTTGGTCCACTTTTGTGGAGAGGTATGTTTTTAAGACATCGGGAAATATTCCTGTGTTGAAACATAAATTTATAATGTGTGTCAGTGGATTGGAGATTTATTTAGCTACTTTTTGTAGCGTTTCTGCTTCAAAGCCATCAAAACCTGGTGCTTTTTTGGTATTTGAGACAATTTATGGTTTTTTCTACTTCCAAAACGTTTGTGTTGTGTAAATAGAAAGAACTCTCTAAATACTCCTCTCGATCTTCGTTATAGTTCTCTGTAGGTTCTATTTGGACAGCGAGCTTTTAGTAGAGCCCACAGCGAGAAAGAATTTAAAGATTTGAAAAATAAACTTAATATACTTAGAATTAAATTACAAAAAGAGTATGCGGAAAAGAAGTTTAATGAAGCACAGGGAGATTCCAGGAAAACGTGGGCAGTACTGGAGATGGAAAGATATATAGCAAGGATGCAAATATTGCAGCAGTTTTTAATGGACATTTTTCAGGCATTGGATTGACATTAGCAACTAAAATAAATAGCAGAATGGAAGTAACGTTTCAAGAAGAAGAATAAAGAGAAACATTTTACTACAACACACAAACATAAAAGTTGAAAAATTAATAAATGAGCTAAAACACAGTTTTACTCCTGGTTTGTACAAAAAAAAAAGACACTGGAACGCTTTTTGAAATTATCAGACGTAAAATAGTAGAAATTATCAACCACATCCTATAGAAAGTGGACACTATCCTGAAGAGCTAAAGACTGCAAAAATTGTGTCGGTAAATAAAAAGGGCGCACATGACGATTTGAATAATTACCGACCAATATCATTGCTGAGTACATTTAACAAAATAATAGAAAAGATTATAAAAACCAGACTTGTCTCATTCATTAATACGCACTTTTACTTCGATAGTCACCAGTATAGTTTTCAAAAAAGAAGTAGTACACTTGGGGCAACAGTCTAGAATATATTTCAAGTGAACTGGATAAAGCCAGATACGTTATAAGTGTGTTTGTCGATCTACAAAAAGCCTTCGATACTGTGAATATTGCATTGTTGCTAGATAAGTTTTAAAAAATTGGATTTCAAGGGACATGCCATAACTTGCTGAAAACATAATCAATGATGGAATAAGCAGCGCTGAAAATATATCTGTCGGTATTGCCCAAGGCTCAGTACTAAGACCTTTAGAGTACCTTCTATATGTCCAAAGTCTGAAGTTGAGGGCTAAATATGTGAAATTTTGTGATGATACTGTCTTCAATACTTGGAGAAAATGGAAAAGAACTTGAAAATATTGTGAATGAAGATCTAGTACGCTATTTTGATTGGCTCTCCTACAATAAACTCAACTCATAAATGTTGATTCTATATGGTCCTACATCAGGTGGAAAAAAGAACAATAAGCCCAACAATTGAAATCAATGGCAAAATTCTCAAATAAGTGGAGCAATATGTACTTAGATCTTATAATAACAGACAAACTGACATGGGGAGCACACATTGAAAGTATTCATGCAAAAATTGCTTCATTCTTGGGAGCTGTTAGGAGGTGTAGACATATGTTAAATAAAAACTCAAAATATTTAATCTATAATAGTTTCATTGAGCCACACTTCAGGTATATGATACCATGCTATAAAAATGCTACCCTGGAACAGTTAAAACAGCTGAAAAGACTGCAAAAGAAATCAATAAAAACAATATTCTCCAGGCACTGTTATACACCCAGTGAAACACTATACAGGCAGTATCCCTTCCTGAATATTGATAAAGTTGAAGATGTTGGAGCAGGCAAAACTTATGTACAAAATACAAAACCACCTAATTAAAACAAATGTGCAGACTAGTCTGAATAGAAACTATCACCACTCTCACAAATATTTTAAGCCTCTATAAAAAATTGTTTTCTCTATAAACCCAAATAAAACTGGGCTCGCCATCTATGCTTTTGCCAACCAACTAAACTATTCATATTACGGACTTTCCAGCGTAACATATGAAACGAATAACCTACGTAGTGTAATATTGAATCCTCTGTTCATAGATGGCAGAACCTACTGCAGGCCAAACCAATAATTCAAAAAGTATTTACAATATTCATATAGTTTTACTAGGAAAATGGTCTGGAATTATACCATACTCTACATTGACAAACAAATTTAGAACATCTACAAAATAGTTGTTATGATATAAGGCCGAAAAATACATACTATTGTACAGTTGCAAAAGTCCAAAATTATGATTATATCTTTTATGAAAGTATGTCTTACATCCTACAACTCTCACTGAACAAGAATGTTAACCTTCTAAAAATACCTAATAATATGTAATGGGTATTACTTACCTATTAAAGTATATACCTACTTAATAAATACGACACTTAATATTAAATATACTTAAGCGAGTTGAAGTATTAATTAATATAATTTATTATATAAACATAAACTTAACGCTTAAAATGTTACTTCACAAATATTGCTAAATAGTAAGGAATAATAGGACTTGATCACATAAAAGTTAGCACAGTTTTTTATAATTATATTTTCTTTACTCAAAGTTAACCATTTTTGTGACTGGCGTCCCAGGATTGGCGACTATTTCTTTCCAGAACGGTAAATTTTTATTAATTTCGATTACCCCCAACAAAGTTTTTTTGCCTAACAAGTTTTTGGCCATTAGCCTTATCACAATTTTAACTTGGTTCAACATGTAATTGTTAACGGTTGCTCTTAGTGTCGCAGTATTGGCTTCCAGTTTTAAACTAATTGTGGGATCGAATTTGTCACTCTTCTTTTTCTGGATTATATCGTTGCTTTCGAATGCGTTGATTTTGATGTAGAGCTGGCCTATATTGATAAATATAGTGCTTTTTATGTAGAAATTAGAAATTATTTTATTTTTACCTCCAACTCTTTCATGTTCCTGCATCGTTTGTAGGCTGCATCTAAATTTGGTCACAGTCACTTCTACCACGTCATTTCTTCCATCTTCACTTACTGAGTATTGCAACGTTAGCTCTATACAGCCCTTTTTACCTTCTCTCTAAAAAAAAAAAACCTGCGATGAAGAAACACGAACTGTTTAACGGTCAAAATTGAAATAGTCGTTGAGTTGTGTGAAACTGTCCAATTTTCTGCTTTTATTTCCGTAAGAACCATCTATGAAGTATTAGAAAACTTTAAAAAAAAGAGATGAATGAAATCGGTGAAGTCGTTCTCAAGTTATGGCGTGACCAAAGGAAATAGGGACATATTTTTATATAATAGATTATGTTCTAATACTTCAGTTTCTGTACAATGTATGGTCAGTAAGTCGATTTTATCTGCATTCTTCTTCCTTCTTCATCATTATACCATCAGAAGTGCAGAAACGAAAGCACCCCGACCTTGATGGATGATTCTGGAGCCTATTCATCACATATAGGGACTAATTTATTTTGCACGTAGGACTTGTTTGTGTTATTCTCAATGTAACCTGTAACGGCGAGCTGTTCTTCGTTTATCTCATCTGATGCTATTTTGTTACGACTTAATAGGTCTGTTTCTGCAGAAATCACAAACCAATCAGAGTGAATTTCATTGGTTCAAACTAGGTTTCTGACTGTTTTCAACCAATGAAATTCGCTCTGACTGGTTTGGGATTTCTGCAGAAACAGACCTAATAGTACAACTTTTGTATTTACACCTTTCTTCTACCTATAAAGGTAAAGGCTGTCGGTGGGGTGTCAATATATAAAAAAACACCCTGTACAAATAAGTGAATTATTGCGGAACTTATATGGGTGAACTTCTGCGGGACGAGCGCAGCGAGTTCCGCAGCCATCTACTCACCAATATGCTATTGAACTGTTCAAATAAGACACTCACCTGAAACCTGTAGTTTTTGAACTAATGAGAAAAATTCACAACTGAGTGAATCAGATTAGTATTGTACGTGAATAACATATTGGTGAATAGATGGCTGGGTCTACCCATAAGCTCGTTTGTGTTTGAATAACTTGTCACATTAGGTTACTAGTTTCGTAAAGCAACATTACTAATTCCTGTTAAAAGGCAAATTGACAAAAAGTGGATAATCTTACAAATTCTGACTTTATATAATAAGTTATTGTTCAAGTACAAATAAGTGGATTATTGCGGTACTTATGGGTGGACCTCTGCGGGACGAGCGCAGCGAGTTCCGCAGCCATCTACTCACCAATATACTGTTGAACTAATATGAAGTAAGACATTTACCTGAAACGTGTAGTTTTTAAACTAATGAGAATAACTCACATTTGAGTGAGTCAGGTTAGTATCGTAATTAAACAACATATTGATGAATAGATGGCTGGGTCCACCCATAAGTTCCGCAACAATCCACTAATTTGTACTTGAATAACTTGTCACAATATATTACTAGTTTGGTAAGGTAACATTACTAATCCCTGTTGAAAGGCAAATTGACAAAAAGTGGATAATCTTACAAATTTTGAGTTTATATAATAAGTTATTGTTCTAGTACAAATAGGTGGATTATTGCAGAACTTATGGGTGGACCTCTGCGGGACGAGCGCAGCGAGTTCCGCAGCCATCTACTCACCAATATACTGTTGAACTAATGAAGTAAGACATTTACCTGAAACGTGTAGTTTTTGAACTAATGAGAATAACTGACATTTGAGTGAGTCAGGTTAGTATCGTACTTGAACAAGATATTAATGATTAGATGACTGCGGAACTCGCTGCGCTCGTCCCGCAGAGGTCCACCCATAAGTTCCGCAACAATCCACTCGTTTGTACTTGAATAACTTGTCACATTATGTTACTAGTTTGGTAAAGTAACTACCCCAGTAGCACAACAATATTGGTAAAATATTATATTTACATATTGGCCCAAGAATGGAAACGACAGATTTTATTTTTTTTGCCCAATATATATTGTAAATATGAATCCGATATTGAAGAAAGATATTGTCCCAATATGACTTATTAATAAACATGTAATATTGCTTCTAGAAATATACCCAATATTTGTTTTTCAGATTGGCACAATGTATACTTTTTATATGAATCCGATAGTGAATATAAATATTTCTCCAATATTACCAATTAATAAATATGAAATATTTGTTCTAGAAATATTTACAATATTTCCTAGGAATATTTACAATATTTTTTTGGAAAAACACATGCAGACTAGACTTGTTTCCGGCTTCGAGCTTGTGAGCGAAGCACACCAACTTAATGAAACAGGTTTGAAGGAAACTCAAACACTAGGAAAGGGCAAGGCCATCAGTAGCGCGTGGTGTCCTCTCTCGGTAGTCCTGATTGATATGGAAAAGGTACATCTCCTATATATCACCAATATTGGATAAATATTAAATATAAACATGAATAAAAGATATTGCCAAACATGGATTAGATCCAATATTGGATCAATCTTGGATTTACATATTATATAATAATATTGTAGGAGAAAGATTAATCTCCAATATATTACCAATATTGGCTACAAATTGCTAATATTGGACCCATATACAATACTTTACCAATATAGAATCAATATTTGGCCAATATGGATAAATATATCACTGTTATATTAGAAAAAATTGTTTTACCATATTATATCCAATATTGGCTTATTTATGCAAATAAAAACATTATCTGTGCATATTGGTCCATTAATGGATACAATACTATGGTAATATTAGAAAAAGTTGTATTGCCAATAATCCACAAATTTTGTCTAAATATTGTCAATGAAGATATTTTTTCTGTATATTAGCCCATTCTTAAGTAAATATATATTACAATGTGGAAAAATATGTATTGCCAATATTGGCTCAATAATGCAAATAAAAACAATTTTTTTGTGCTTATCGGTTCAATGATGGATAAATATATCACTGTTATATTATAAGAAAAATAGGTATTGCCAATATGTAACCAATCTTGGCTATATACCTACTGCCGATAAAAATATTGTTTGTGCATATTGGCCCATTCTTGGATGAATATATTATTATAATGATGAACGAAGTTGTATTGCCAATAAATGTCCAATGTTGGCTAAAAAATTCCAATATTGGGCCAACATACAATATTGGTCCAATGTATCCGCAACATGGGACCAACATTGTGTGCTAACTGGGGTACTAATTCCTGTTAAAAGGCAAATTGACAAAAAGTAGATAATCTTACAAATTCTGACTTTATATAATAAGTTATTGTTCAAGTACAAGGTGTTTTTTTATAGTGTGCGCCATAAAGTTGGGTACATATATATGTACCTACCCAACTTTATGGCGCACACTGCATGTATCTTGACACCCAATCTACAGCCTTCACCTTTACAAGTACATAGATGAAAGGTATAAATACAAAAATTATACAGTATTGGCTAAATTTTCAAAATCCATGGTCAGAAACAAAAATTGAATGTCAGAAATGTAAAATGTTGCATGCCTTCAGCTTTTTTCAAATGGGAAGCCCTATATTTGGTTCTATATTCTTAAAGAGCACAATTTCCGATTCCAAAACTACCTATATAGTTTGTCTATATTTGGTTGAGCCGTCTCCAACATATTTGGTTTTAAAAATTTTAAAAATACTATCAGAGAAAGTACCTACCTCAAATTTTACCTGCAGCTTTCACCTGTATAGGTAGAATGGTTCACAAAATCAGTAGTAGGATAGTATTTTTATTTATAACCACATACGTAATGTTGACATTTCTGACTTTTCAAAAGTTTGAAAGTGACACTTTTTTGAATTTTACTTTCCACCCGGGTGGAAAGTGGTCCCGGGTGGAAAGTGCTCACTTTCCACCCGGGTTCTCATTTTTTAAAATGTTTAAGACGAGTCCCTGCATGCCAAACGTTTTTTTAGATGAGTCAGAACTTGTCAACAAAAATTTAAAAAAAAAATTTTTTTTAGTATTTAGTCGAAATTATGAGGGTTGTAATTGTTGTAAATAAAATAGTATACAAACCTCGGTAGAAAGTTTCATTCCTGTCTCGAGATTATAGTTAACTTCGACGCTTCGCGTCTCAGTTAACTAACTAATCTCTCGACAGTAATGAAACACTTTCCACCTCGGTATGTAATATACTATTACAATTTTTGGAGCCGAATATATAAGAGACTGTTCAATCAAATATAGACAAACTATATATTTTTGGAATCGGGGCATTGTGCTCTTCAAGAATATAGAATGAAAAAATCCTATCCTATTTGAAAAAAGCTGGAAGCATGCAAAATTTCACATTTCTGACATTCAAATTTTGTTTCTGACCATGGTTTCTAAAAATTCATCCAAATCTGTACAACTTTTTTCTACCTGTAAAGGTAAAGGCTGGTGGGGTGCCAATATATAAAAAATCACCCTGTATGTTTATATCACATCACATTTTATATCAAATGTTAGAAAATGTGTATTTTTGTTTGTCTTGCTAACAATTCTATTGATTTTGATTCTGAGCTTCTCCATTTGTCATTTGTCAAGTATTTTCTTGCAAAAATTCTCAACTCTCTTCTTCGTCTAGGAGGAATATATTTGCATTTTTCCGTTTAGAACTTGATCCAACGATATCTGGTATTTCCTGTTAAAAGATGAGACACGTGTCAGATTTTTTTGGAGTCATTCTTTCTATCATAGACTAATTGACTAATAGGCCTTTACTCGTACATAGCTACTTGATAAAATAAAAATCCTATAAATTATCCAATAAATGACGTAAACTCATTGCACACTGCAAACTATTTATACAATAAACAAATGGCCCAGTAAGTTAAATAGCCTAATTGGTAAATTTACTTACAGGTTGCGTCTGAATCCCACTGGTTATTTCCTTGACACTCCTCCACACATCTGGCGTACTTATTACGTTGTCTTTTGAAAATTGTGTGAAATTTTTTCTTTCTAAATTGTAAGTCACTGCACCGATTGTTCTTCTATTTTTCATAGAATTTCTGGAAAAGAAAAATAATATTCAATATTACTAGGGATAAGTTTCGCCTTCATAGGCATGTTTCAGTTATGATAGTTTCAAGCTGAAGAATAAACATGGTACAAGTGGCTTATTTTTTCTCAGGAAGTCGGAATTTTCACTCTAAGTAGAATTTGAGCTGTCGTTGTAGATTCGACTAGTTTTTCAAACTCGCCTAGGTGCAACCTTGTTCAAGACTATAAAATTGAATTGAATCTCTTATACAGACTTCAAGTTAACCAAAAAATAAGTCTGTAGCTCCTTTACATTTGAAGACAGAGCCAGATAGAGGCTAGAAAACAATAATTTTGCACTTTTTTTTTTAATTAAAAGTTCTCGCATCAAAAAAAAAAATGACGTATGCGAAATGGTTCCCAATCTATCACGAAACCTATAGTCGGATCTATGTCAATTTTTTTTTTGTTGAATGAAGAGACTTTTCACCGGCTCTTGTGATTTTTTATATTCATTATAAGAAAATTGTCAAGGAACCAAGTGCATTGCAGAAATAATCGAAGGAAGTTCCGGACTAAATTAGGTCTGTTCCATCCCGCTAGAAAACAATCCCAAGAACGGTTTCGAAACCACTCTGTATACAAATTTCGGATTCTATACGCACAAATTTTACGTTTCGCGTAGAATCCTGACGGTGAAATGTATGTACAGTTCCCTCTGGGTTGGTATCAAGGTTCCTAAAGTTCACAGGTTGTCTGGTAATGGATAACTTGATGACGCATCTGGGGTGCCTTATAGAGATTTTCATTATGTTGAGGCACCTCGGATGACGTCATAAAGTTATCATGGAACCTACCTCGCACAACCTTGGGTTGGAACAAATAGCTATTTAATACGCCACCAGTTCATCAGTTGCCGGTAGAGTGAATAACGGAACGTTGCCTATCAACTGTCAAAATTGTCAAAGTCAAACTTGTAAATATTTGGCAAGCGTCTTTTATCTCGAAAGTGACGAAAGTTATTGTGAATAACTCAAATTTTCCTAGGCAAATATATACAGCAGTATTTATTAATGGTGAGTTTATTAAATTAGTATCCATATTTGTTGTGAGTATTAATTTTGACATTAAAAACATTCTGGTTCTGAATCCTCCCAAAAAAAGTTTGATTTTGAATTTTTAAATCCATTAGTTTTGATGAAATATGAGTTTCTAGTGATTGTTCACTTTAATATTTGTACTTGTGATTCAGCAGAAGTCTGTTGATGGAATATTCCGTGATCATTATTATTATATTATATTAATGGCCGTTTGCACTGATTATTTTAAGGAACCTTAGCTATAAAGTGACATTTTTCAATGTAAAAACGTCATTTTAAGGAATAATTTCGCTAAGGCTTCCTTAAAATTGGTTGGTGCCTCTTGGTGCAAACGGCCATAAGTCTGATAATAGATTTCGAGCATTAGTAGAAATGAAAGCCAACTAATTGCCACGTACATAATTGTTTTTTATATACATTACCATTACTTTTCTTTCGTTATTAAAGACTGATAAAAACTCTTAATTTTTACAAAAAAAGAAAAGCCTATGCATGAGGAGAAAGTTAAAGAAACGGAAAAAGAATACATGCATGAACCAGCCTTTAAATCTGAAATTTTTTGTTTTTTGTTAATATAACCTAAATTATATATTTTTTTTTCCAGTACATCAAATATGGTGGACTATTATAAAGTTCTTGGAGTTCCACAAGGCGCTTCATCCGCTGAAATCAAAAAAGCTTACCGCAAGCTAGCCCTGCAATGGCATCCGGACAAGAATACCAACAATGTGGACCATGCCACAAAGAAATTCAAAGAAATCTCTGAGGCCTATGAAGTTCTTTCAGATGATAAAAAAAGACGCATGTATGACCAACATGGACAAGCTGGTTATTCTAGCAGTGGTTCTAATTCTAGAGGCAGACGCAGTCATATGGATGATTTTGATTTCGTATTTGAATTCACATTCGGAGATCCCTTTGACATTTTCAAAGATTTTTTCGGAGGCAACAACGTTTTCGATTTTCTAAGTGAACTACAGGGCAATGACCACCATGGACAATCCCGTAGTCGTCGAAACCACGGCGCGTTTTCTGGATTCGACTTAATGAACGATCGTTTTATGGGAGAATTTTTCGATGACGGGGGACCCAGTGTTGCATCCTACAGTTTGAGCAACAAAGTCGGCAGTATGGGCGGAAACGTGGTGAAAAGAACTTCAACGTCAACTAAATATGTCAACGGCAAGAAAACGACAGTGGAAAAGATTTTCGAAAATGGTAAAGAGACGGTGTTGTGTTATGAGGATGGTGTGCTGAAATCAAAACTCGTCAATGGACGTCAACGTATAACCGACAAGTAATCAGCTATAGTGACTTTCCCCGCCAATAATTATAAATTACTTTTCGAGCGTGATATGTTAAATTTCAAGTGTAATTAAAAACAATAATGAAAATACCTATTATTACAATATTTTTCAAATCTTAGCGGTAGTAGGTGCATGAATAATATTTGGTATGTCACGGTGCTTTTTCTCAAAAGTTATTTGATATATGGGCCTGAAATTTAATGATGGACGTAGGGCAGTTGGGTGGATGACGTCTGAATAGTTTAAAATAAACTACATCAGGTGACTATAAGTTGTATGAGAAAATAAATTAATATCTGCACTTTAAGATTAAATATATGTTTTCCACTGGAAGTTATGCTTATACTAGTAATTTATTTTTTATTTGCCTCAGTGTGGATATTGTCTATATCTCTTTGTAAATGATATTTTATAATTATCTTGATTGAAACTTATGAAATCTTAGCTTTACGGGTCAATTCTGTACACATCTGTATGCAAATCTATAAGCCTATAGACAAATTGCATTTGTGCACTTCCTGTAGTTTACAGAAACTCTTATATAGAATCGAAAATATTTGCGATTGGGTGTATGGCAATCGATGTGTTTTGCAGTGTGTATAGGCTTATAGATTCGCTTACAGATGTGCACAGAATAGGCCACATAATTTATTGTAGGAAGAGCTCAAAATACACACACAGATTTGATAACAGAAAAATATATTATATTGAAAACAAAACGATAACTGATGGAAATTATCCTTGGTCTGTGGCTTTGTGAAGTATACCACACATTATAAAAAGAACCATCAACTTTTTCTGCTTCTGCTATATTTTTTTAAACCATATGTTAATATGCACTAATGTGAATCCTGTTTTATATTGGCGGTCAACTAACACATGATTTTTGTTATAGGAGGTTTGACCTTTCCACTTTTGTAATTAGCATGTCATTCTATTACCACTTGTTTAGTAGATTTCGCTGTGAAAATTATTAGCTTAGGATTTGTTAAAAGTTAAATGTTGATTTTTCATAAATATGTATAGAATTCGTTTTTTTTTTTTTTTTCGATATTAGTAAATACTTAATAAATAAATGTCTATTCTTAGAATTAACTAATTAACCCATTTACTTACCTGAAACTTCTCCTAGTAAAACTTCTCCGTACGTTATTCCTTAAAAAGTCACTATTTTCATCAAACGAGAAAAATCGTCTAATTGGTCCCTTTTCCGCTTTCGTAGGTTTCTCTTCCTCAGTCTCATCCAATGTGGCATAAATTGTAAATGAAACGAATATGCCTTTAAGAAAATCAATCGTCTTTTTATCTGGTATATTTAGAGTAAATGGAAATTCTTCGTTTATCGTCGGCCAGTTATCTTTTGCTGGTTTAGTTTCGAACTTCTCTTTAGTGGGAAAAACCGTGACCTGCAAGGAAAATCGTTATCAAATCAACAATCACTTATCCATCCAAAAAATACTCGGATCAGTTGCAAACAACCTCCCAACTAACTCAAATTTCTTATATTAATTATCTTTCAAAAGATGATGTATTAGACCTATCTCTGAATTTACAAATTTGTTTCATAAAGGGTTTTAATTCTTGAAGTTCAAATTGCTGCATAAGAATGCTGTATGAATGAATGAATGAATGTATGAATTCTAATGAAGAGTAGTGCGGATCTGGTATTCCTGATACTCAAAAGGTTCGGCAGTTTTTTCAGTCAGAAACATTTTTTTTTCATCAAGACATTTTTGTATAATGGAACGTTAAATATTGGCGGTAAACGAGATAAATCATCAGATGTTTATAGGCTTAGGTAGGTATCTCTAATCATATTTGCAATCCGATTAAGATAACATTTTTTTTTCCCCTGTTTGGTGACGTTTCGCGAGTTTAAATTTTATATTTGTTAAATTAGATATGAATTCACAATTTCCATTAAAAATAAAATATGAAAAGTGGCATATGCTTTTTGATAGTTTTTTTTGATAGTTTTTATAGCCATGAAAGAAATTCTCCTGAAAACTATGGGGAGAATCATTAACCTACACATAAGGATAAGCCTGCCATACGTCCCGTACTATACGGGACAGTCCCTTATTCCAAGGTCCATGTCCCGCGTCCCCAAATTTGTTGTCGGGACGCGTAAATGTCCCGTATTCTCTGATATTTCAAAAAGCGTGAAATAGGTAATTCGATTTTGCCCCTCATTCCCTCATCTCTAGTCTCAGCAAATCGCAACGTGCTGGTTATTCGACAGCATTTAACATTTGACAGTTAAGAATTTGGCGAATTCGGCCCAAGGGTAATAATCACCACTAAGGATTGCTTTATTGCTTATCGGCCTCATTTTTGGTAATGGCCGCCATATTGGTGTATCATCATTGCCGACGTCATCAACTAAGTCGTCAGCTGTTTGCGCCAGCAGTCGTAGTTTACAATTTTAATATATGATGAAAAATATTATTTAATTTTGATTAACATAATAGGCAAATAGGAAGATGCAAACGAGATCTGAAAAATAGTTGTTTTAAAATGTTAATTAATGTAGTGAAACCAAGTATGCAAAAAGTAAAAGCGTTGATTCCTGTGGTGCAAACAGTCTAGGTCAAGGCGAGAAACGACATGCTGTCTACGTCACAGGTGGTGATTTGGTGGGGTAGGGGCATTGAGGTAGTATATAGGGTAGGAGGCGACGTCACCTGACAAAAGGTGGTAGCGGGTCCGCCATACTAGTGCTGGTTTTGTGTCATTACTTACCTACTGACATTACAACTGTCATACTCAATTTCTGATTTCGAGACGTAATACGCAATTTTTGCTTATTTTGGGGTTTTTTCGACTTGCTTGTGTTGTGTATGAGAGAAGTATAATGTCTTCATGTGCACTAAGAAGTTGCTTCAGCAGGTTTGGCGTAGAAAAGAAGAAATCAACGGAAATATCATTTCATAGGTGAGTATAAACAACATTCAGGATCGGACTTCTAATTTTTTGTTGTAGTTTTAATATGTAGTTATGTTTTGAGAAGTATAATTTTTTAACAATTTTAACAATTTTTAGACCACATAAAAACAATTAAATACATGTAAAAATTGAAATACCAATAGAGTCTGACTTTTAAATATATTTGAGCTATATGAAGTAAACAAATATGACATTTGAGCTGAATCCAACCCTGATACAGCGGCCATATTGGTGCTGGAATAAGCTTCTAATGATCCCGTTATCAATGCATACTCGTATACGGCAGCAGCGTCTTCTTTTATATAATATCTCAATGGGTAGGGGGCTTCAGATTTGTTCTACACAGGCCTTATGAGGATAGGCTAGCCTGTAGTAGTAGTGTGTATTATTCGTGAGTTCGATCTACGGGCGGGGTCCCGAAAAAAAAGAAATTCGCCTGCGGCGCTATTTTTTCTTAAATACATGAAACATCTGCTTCATAAAAATGTCCAGTTTTTTTATCAGAATATTATGGTAGCCTTACATAAGGAGTGAATTCCTGATGGAAATCTTTCTCCAAAAGAATCAATTCGTTTATCAGCCAGGTAAATTATCTGCTGAGACAGCCCCACACAGTCTCGTCAGATTGGAAGGGCACATTCAAGTCAAGAAATCACTCTATGCGCATTCATTGATAAAGAGTGAGCTTTCGGTAACACCTCACATAAATCAATGAGAAGAGCAACTAGAAATAATGGCTTTTACAATTGCATGGATTCAGGCCATGCTTGAGAATAGGAAAATCAAAGCAACAATTGGAAGTGACTCAGCAGTCGAGGGATGCCCCCAAGAGGATGTACTCTCCCTACACTAGCTGTGGTCACTGATGGTAGTTGATGAACTTCTCAATGCCCTAAGCGACCAAGGGATCGGTCCTAAGATGTGCTAACAACCTCACAGTAATCATTAGGGTTAAGCATCATAGGATCATCAGTGACCTCAGGACCTCACAGAACGGTTCAAGCGTTAACCCCAACAAAACCATGATTGTACCTTTTACAAGGAAAAGGAAACTGAATCTAACGGCCACAAACTCAAATAGGATACAAATTAACTTCGCAAATGAGATAAGTATCTGGAATTCATCTTGGATCACAACATCTTAAAAGAGTAACCGACCGGCAATAGCTACATACTGGACGGAGATTATTCAGTAAGGTCTAAGGAGATTATTCAGTAAGGTCTAAGGCCAAAAATTATCTATTGGTTATTTACAATGTTATAAGACCCATGGTAACTTACGCTGCAATAGTATGGTGGCCGAAAACAAACCACTGTACAAAGGTACGGATTTCTTGGAATTACTGGAGCAATCAACACCTGTCCAACAGCCGCAATGGAGGTCATATTGGGTTTCTCTTCAATAGATATAATAGTGAAGAAAGAGACCTCGAGAATAATAATAGTCCCTAAAACTAAAGGAAGGGGACCTTGTCGGCCACATGAGCATTATGAAAGAGTGCACATAAATGTGACCACAAAGTCAGTCAACCACATGCAATACAGGTACGAATTTGAACACTCCCTCAAAATGACTATTGAGGGCCGCAAGGGAGTACCTGTTTTGGCAAACGGGTCATCTGTTTGGTATACAGACGGATCCTGAACAGAGCTGGAGTAGGAGTATACGGCCCATTTTGTAGACTATTGTCATGCAATAAGCTTTTCTTAGTCAGTCAGTCGGGATGCCAGTTGTTTTTAGAGCGAAACAACCACCCTTTTCGTTTGCCACGGTTTTCGTACAACTTCTCAGTTGTACTGGGCAGCTCGCACCCACAACGCAATACGAGACTCGTCTGCTGGCTACCTAAAGTGATCCCGATAGCAAGGGGACCCACTACAAAGCGTTGTCAGCCTATTACGCGATCCTAAAGTGCTTGGTACATGGCACCACACTTCTGTTGAACAAATGAGATAAGAGCTCTTCTTGTCTCTGGCGCAGAGATCAGACCAGACAGGAGAAATGAAGTCTCCTTCGATGTCTGGAGAGAACTGACTATGGCTTTTTCCTGAAAACGGTCGTTTTTATGCGTTTCGGCGATACCCTTCACAAGCCACGCCTACATCATAATCGACCAATCCCATGCAACGTAACACTATCGACAGCCTTAGGAGAAAGCCTAACCATATTCCAGTGTCTGGAAAGAGACTTGCGAAGAGCGAAGATCTATGTATATTCCGGCAGAACTAAGAGCTCTGAGTAGCTCTGTCACTAAGTATACACTGATATTGGTCTGCCAACAACTCTTAAAGCAACTGGGCGTCTCGCAATAGAGTCACCCTGTCATGAGCTCTGTTACATAATTAATTGTGAACCTGTTTCTGGTATTTTCTATCAGTGACAGAAATCTGATGGAAGAATTGTAATTGTCAATATATGATCTTATCTTCCAACTTTAATAGTATATTATTCAACGAGCAGGTTTTGATAGCTATTACTCACGAAGGATGAAGTTTGTACTACGAGCCGCAGGCGAGTAGTGTAATCATCCGAGTGAGTAATAGTCATTACCCACGAGTAGAATACTATACTTTTTGTATGATTAATAGTTAATATAGGCACGAGCTATGCGGGTTTTTATTTGACAATTATTCTGCCAGCTGGAGGACAAAGTGAGGTTAGGTTAGCACAAGTCTTGTTTAAATTAGCTGGTAAAATGACCGATTGAAAGGTTGAAGTATTTTGTCAACTTGTCGAATTTTCTGATTGGCTCTTAAATAGTGGAGTAATGAGACCAGTATATTTTCATTGGTTGAAATCAATTGAGTAATGAAAAAAAACTTACTGTATGAGTAATCATTCACCTGAGTAGGAAGAATTTGGTGTAATATAAGTCAATTGAAATGACAAATTTGCAACTCTAAAAATAATTGAAAAATATGATAACATTGTTAAAGGCATAGGCTGCATTAAATATCAATGTAAAATTAGACTTGAATCAAACTATAAACCAGACGTTGCCAGATACCATAAACTTCCTTTGGAATTGCACAAACAAGTAAAGATGACTATTGATCGAATGGAAAAAGACGGAATAGTTACAAAATTAGAAAAAGCAACCAAATGGCCGAATGCACACACAAGATGGCTCAGTTCGTTTATGTATAGACCCAAGACCTCTGAACAAGTATATCATACGACAAAGACTTGAATATTGATACTATTTTTTTTTTTAATTGGCCAGGCCAAATAGTTTTCAGTGCTTGATGCTCCATGTGCTTTTTGGCAGATACCATTAGATGAAGATAGTTCGGAACTATGTTCTTTTATAACAACTTTTGGTCGATACAAATTCAACAGAATACCATATGGATTATCGAATGCACCAGACATTTTTCAAACATGTAGGTATAAATATGATTTGGTTTGTGGTTTGGGTCGAGGGAAATTAAAGCAAAATACTGACCTTATTAAAGCGGATCTAAGGCTGCTAACAGGCTTCCTAACATTGCCCTCTAGGTTACCACCTGAAAAAGATGGCCAAAACAGAATCAGACCTTAGGTATGCCGCTTCTTTGAAGAAGCATCTGCGTCTGCTGAACACATACTTAGCAACTGCGAGGCATTGTGCCGAAGAAGAATTTATCCTTCTGGAGCAGCCCTATTTAACGGCTGCGAATGTGGAAGAAGTCAATCTTAGTATTCGGTCGCAGTACGGAGAGGTCCATAGCCTAAACACCCCAACCATCAAAATCTAGATGGAATATTTTCATTCTTATGGCTGAAAAATTTTAGTGACAGTTGCCATGACTCCAAATTATTCTAATTACCAAGTCATTTATACCCAATAACTCTAGTGATGTTTCTCAAGAATTATAAACACATAAAACGGTATAATGGCATCATTATTTACATTTAGATATATTTGGTACCTCATTGTACATCTATACTGGGAATTAGACGGTGTTTATAGCTATTTGTCGACATGAGATAAACATTTGGAATAAGTGGTATTCAAATGTGGAGCAAATAAACAGTACGTACTCGGTGTACGTTGAAATGCCAACTTAAATTTTGAAATAAATTTAAGTTGGAATATTCAGCTTATTAGTTCCAGAGATGCAATCGTGCTAAGTAAGGAGGAAGATATTTTATATGGTTCTTCACAGTGGCGGCTCGTGACTATTTCAAGTGAGGAGGCTAAAAATAATAATGAACTACGGTAACCACTGGCAGCAGGCAGTTTTTTTTTTGAGTGTCTACGTCCTCAAGAATTTATCTAAAATTCAATAAAAACCATAAATGCTCAAGAAAAGAAACATCATAAGTATATATTTCCCGTATTCGCATGCTGAGTAATTAACCTGAGAGGTGAACTATCAATTTCTTCAGGACTATCTGATAAACTAAAGAACTCTTCTTCGTTAATAGATCATATTTTCCGAAATAGGCCCCAAATTTTGATGTAGATTGGATAAATAATGAAGTGTGTGGTAGAAAAACATGACGGTTTTCTACCACACACTTCAGTTTTGGAACGACGTGTTTCATCGCGGCGATGAAAACCGTCATGTTTCATCGTAATGTGTGGGGGCCTTTATTGGTTTCATATGAAATTGCGTGTCTGCTGGAAAAACAAAAATTTTTCTCTTTAATGCAATAAATAATTTATATTAAATTACTGAAGTGCTCCTTTTTCGTTTTGATCAATGTAGTTAATTGGATTTTAAAAATGAGCGGAATTCGTCGGTTTTTTTTATTCGCGAAATAATCTATTAGGTACTTCTTCATAAAACTGGTCATCTTCGCACATTTTTGGATACAAATTCTTTTTCAATTGAAACAAAAGATACGTTAGTTAGTCTGTTTTGGGAAATGGTACTTCGAGAGTAAGTTTTAATTCGTTTTACCGCTAAAAAATTCATACAATCTACGACTTCCGAATAGAAAAGTGACATGGAACTCCGAATCGAATGCATAAAAAAGATAAAAATGCAACGATGGCAGTTTCCAACCTTGCAATCAAAGGTTGCGGCTAGCCGCTCCGCGTCTCGATGGTGCCTGAACGCCAGGAATGGTTCGACATATTTCCGGCATTTCTATTGGTCGCTGAGATTCGCGGTCCATTTGAATGCTAGATTTCAGGGAAGCATATGAGAGTCAAGCCTCCGGTCGACTTCTATGGGTAAAATTGCGGGCAAGGAACAGATTTTTGTCATGGAGGCGCGGAATTGTTTGAAATAATGTTGTCAGATTGTTCCAAATTATGTTAAAATATTGAAATTTGGAAAGTGTAACTTGTTAATTATAATATTAAATAGGAATTAGGGATAAAATATTGAGATTTAATTTTCAATTTTTTTGGGGAGGCTTAGCCTCCCCTGCCTCCTCTGACGAGCCGCCACTGGTTCTTCAATTTTTCGGCTGCAAACACTTGGACTTCTAGTCACATTATGGAGTTTGGGCGGTCCCAAGGCAAAATCTCAACATAAAAAAAATTTAAAATTTCAACGTTTTTGTATCTTTTAAGATCCTTTGAATAACTATTTCCAAAAACCAAGAAAAATCATATCTCATAGGTAGATAGGAGGAATGCTCTTTTTTTGTTTTTCTAGTATTGTATATCTCAGTGGCATAGGTATGTTGGTAACAGATATAACAATAATTTGACTGAAATGAATGGCTGGGTGTTCACATCCAAATAGCTGCTGACGTCGAAGATGCTTTGGTTGCATTAAAACTTTAAGTTGATAAAAGACTTGACTCATCGGGTAGAAATGAACTGAAGTCCTCGGTTACCCAGTTGGTAAAGCAATCTAAAGTTTCAAATCTTGGTCGAATCTGATATTTCGTCAACTTTTATTTATTTTCTTATGCCTTGAACAACTTTTCTTTCATGACTCAAGTAAAAAAAATGTATCGTAGAAATGTTCAGCATAAATTGAGATTTAGGTATGTGTAGGTATGCAAAATTATTATTATCCGTTTTCTGTTTAGGCTTTATGTGCAAATTAATTTCAAACTTTAACCTTTGGGAAGTTTAAAATAGTTCAGTGAGTATATTATGACTGCATGATTTGGATAATCGCATATACAGGGAAACATTGCTTTTTCACAAGAAAATGTTAATATTTGAATACCTACCTAAATGAGACTTATAACAAAGTACCACTAGAAATTGGATATATTTTCTTGAAAAAAAAAAACTAATATTCATACCTTTACGACATATCCTTTAGGTTTGGAACTTCCATAATCCGCTGGAAGTTGCTTAGCACCAATAACTTTTACGTTCAATATAGCCAGATTTTGATTAAAACTAATTTTGAAACCGATTTGTGGATCACTACCGCCGCTCGTCACTGCGCTCTCACTATTCTTATTCACATTAAGAAAAGTCAAAAAATTGTTTATCTTCTGTTCCATCTTTAAAAGTGCAGTCACAAACTATCCGGCATATCACGAGAGAATGTCGAACAATTGGCCAATTTAAATAGATTAAGTGATGAATTAAAAAGGCCACAAACACAATTTATTAGCTTCGATATAATAGATTTGTACACAAAAGTGATTATTAATTAAAAGTGGTTATCTTATCTGCGGGCACCTTACACGGTTATTCGACAACTAAGTTATTTGCACTCGAGTTACGGTTTTTGTTTGGGTAATAATTATCGCTGCGAAATGTACAGGGAGCGCTAAGAAATAATTTCAATAAAAAAAATTGATTATTGATATTCATTTTTCTGAATTATGTACTTTCTTGAAGAATTATTCAAAATTAAGATGTTAACAAGTGGGAAAATTGCAACATACTATCAATTTTACATTAAGGTTTTTCCTTACCTATATTATTATATTCCTTGAACTTGATGTCACTGTGCTTTATACAGGGTGACCCTTTATTTCTTCCTTTTTTGAGTAAGTACAAAAATGTAAAATTACAACAGCCTACCTATAGTAATTATCTTGAAAATTCAAATTTTTCTTCTAAATTTGAAAGTTTCTTTTTTAGTTCGATTTCTAAAACTGAAACTAAAAGGAAAACTCCTTCACAACCATTTGATTTAGATGTACATGTACATGGTGTTTTTTTATATATTGACAAACCACCTAGGTACAGCTTTTATCTTTACAGGTAGAAAAAAGGTGTAAATACAAAAGTTGTACAATTCAGAAACAAAAATTGAATGTCAGAAATGTGAAATTTTGCAGGCTTTCAGCATTTTTCAAATGGGACGCCCTATTTGGTTCTATATTCTTAACGAGCACAATGCCCTGATTCCAAAAATATATAGTTTGTCTATATTTGATTGAGCAGTCTCGAAAAATTGTAAAAATACTACTCAAATGTGAGTTATTCTCATTAGTTTAAAACCTACACGTTCCAGGTGAATGTCTTACTTCAACAGTTCAACAATATATTGGTGAGTAGATGGCTGCGGAACTCGCTGTGCTCGTCCCGCAGAGGTCCACCCATAAGTTCCGCAACAATCCACTTATTTGTACTTGAACAATAACTTATTATATAAAGTCATTTGTAAGATTATGATTATTCACTTTTTGTCAATTTGTCTTTCAACAGGAATTAGTAATATTACTTCACCAAACTAGTAATATAATGTGACAAGTTATTCAAGTACAAACGAGTGGATTGTTGCGCAACTTATGGGTGGACCTCTGCGGGACGAGCGCAGCGAGTTCCGCAGCCATCTATTCATCAATATGTTGTTTAATTACGATACTAACCTGACTCACTCAAATGTGAGTTATTCTCATTAATTTAAAAACTACACGTTTCAGGTAAATGTCTTACTTCAACAGTTCAATAGTATATTGGTGAGTAGTTGGCTGTGGAACTCGCTGCGCTCGTCCCGCGGAGGTCCATCCATGAGTTCTGCAATAATCCACTTATTTGTACTAGAACAATAAGTTATTATATAAAGTTAAAATTTGTAAGATTATCCACTTTGTGTCAATTTACCTTTCAACAGGAATTAGTAATGTTTCGTTACCGAACTAGTAATATATTGTGACATGTTATTCAAGTACAAACGAGTGGATTGTTGCGGAACTTATGGGTGGACCCAACCATCTGTTGTTCAAGTACAATACTAACCTGACTCACTCAAATGTGAGTTATTCTCATTAGTTTAAAAAGTACACGTTCCAGATGAGTGTCTTATTTGGACAGTTCAACAGTATATTGGTGAGTAGATGGCTGCGGGACGAGCGCAGCGAGTGTATTATATCAAAATATATTTTCACGCTAGCAACGCAGCGAGTAATAAGCTAGTATAACTATAAAGATCGCTGATTAAAATTATTATTGTTTCGCTCTGATGCTATTTACAAGAAAAGTAATTGAATTGTTTTCCAAATTAAGGCTGGATGAGTGATTATTAGCAAAATAAATAAAATTGATTAGATAATTTGTTCTGTAGTTGTGTCATTCAATTTAAAGAATTCAATATGCTTTTGTTCCAATTGCATCAAGATTATCTCTACATAATTTGTATTTTTCCTTTAATCAACAAATTTACTTTGAGGCAAGGATTTTGTTCAATTGCTTGAACCCGTAACTCGTAACATTGGCTGCATTTTTAAAAGGTTACTTAGGTACTAGTTAGACTAATTAGAGAAAGATTGCTTTTCATTTTTACATCTAGTATCCCAAACACAATTATTTTGTCCCTAATTTAACTGTCTTTTAGATCAACAAATTTAAAATTTGGGCTCAATTTAGATCCGTGACAAAGATATCATTGCTTTCTCCTTCGGCTCAAAATTCTCTCCAAAATGGTCCTAAAGTCTGCTCCATTTCTTTAATTCTTATATCATTCTCGGGTATCTCAAACAATCGTGAATTTTTAGAGCTGTTCGCTTCCTCTAGAATCGTTGAAGCTGACCGGATAAGGGCACAGCTTTCTTCCTTATATTGATTTTCTCAATAATCTGTTTAGATGGCATAAGTAAGAGTTTTTTTCTGTTTGTTCTCTCCAATCAACCGTTTCCGTGTATACCTATATCCACACTTGTCAAACATTTTACCGATCATTGCTGCTTAAACATTTCTATTAGGCGTTAACTCCAAAACTGAAAAATGTTTAGCTCATGGAGTCTTTAACCTCATTTATTTTAATGCCAAATGATTAGCATCCCCAGCCAGAGCAATACTTTGCTGCTAACAATAGATACCTACATGAAAGTAGGGTAATTATTTTCGAATAATAAACTGGTATGACATAGAATAATATTCATAGTAGATGTTTATTTCGGGTTCAACAAACTAACAATAAGAAAAATAAATTAAATTTATTAAATCGTAAGGACGTACATTGAGTATTATTATATCTATACAATTTTTCATTTGTGTCCTATTTTTCATTGATCAACATTTAACAAATTACCAGGTACATATATATTTATTATACAATATTTGAAAATAAAGCTCATGCGTTTTCCAATTTTTCAGTGTCGGATTCCTGACCTTCCTCAATCTCTATGTCTATTCTTTCGACATTCTGATCAAACGCAACGCCTTTCTTTTTCACATCATTACTGAAATCTGACGATTTTGTTGTTACGGTTTCTATATCTGACAAATTCCCATTTTCATCTTCTTTATCTGATAAACGGAGAGCTCCTAGTTCTGGAGGATAACCGAAGACGAATTTTGTTGGACGTCGGTCAGTAACACTTTGCATTCTACAATAATAATTATTAAAATGGGCACTTTGAAAATATCAAACTTACCTTTCCGAGTCTGAAATATCTTCATCATCAATTTCATTATCTATTTTTTCAACATTTTCGTTAAAAGCTACCTTTTTTTCAGCTTCTGGTTCGACGGAATTCAGATGTTCATCATCTGTTAAGGATTCGCCTTGTGAAATGGGGTTCAAACCAATTGCTATACCGGTTGGCCTTCTAAGGGCATTGGAAACCCTACAAGAAAATATGAACCAACTAATTTGAAGATTTCTTCAAAAACTCACATCACTTGCTTCTTGGCTTCGTTTTTTGTAAAACTTTTAGTTTTTGTCGGAGCTAATGCTTCCTCAGGGGTGATTTCAACTCCGGGGTTTTCCCTTGAAAGTGAATATTAGTCAATAATTGGTTATAATAATAATTATGATATATTCCACCTTAGTTTGAAAAACCAGAAAAGGAATGCTGCCAAAAGAACCATTAATAATAAAACAGCCAAGATGGACACGGCTACAATCAAACCAGTATTGACTCCTGTACTAGAATTTGCTTGGTCATTATTAGATTTACCTGCAATAATGGTAGGAAGTAGTTTACATAATTTTTAATACCTATTGGTAGTTACTGAAATATTGAAGGAAATATGAGTAAAAAAAAAGCACAAGGACGAAGTTCGTTTAGATGAAAATTTCCAAGGAGTACCATTTCATTCCACGTTTTAGGCATTGGCATTTTTCTTACCTGATTTTGAAGCCGACAACAAACTAAAGCCTGATGATTAATAAGTATGTAATAATGCTTTAATTTTCAAGTCAACTCTATATTTTCAACAAATATGACAAAATGACAATACTTCAAATTCCACCTTCACCAGTTATATGGTAAAGGTAAAAGGTACAAAAATACCGGATCCTGCAGACAGAACAATCGTCCCTCGTGAATCTTTATTATAAATTCATTTTCTGAACTGGCTTAATTTTGCGTTTAGATCTTCTAAAAGTCATGGTGTTTTGTAAAATAGATGAATTCTGATCTTGTGTCTCCCTTTCCTCAGTAACATCATCCTTTTTTTTATTGTTAGATTCTTCTTGTCTAGTATTGCTATAGTATTCTGAATATCTTCATCAGATTCTTCTTGTAGAGTAGTACTAGTGGTTTGAATGTCTTCATCTGTTACTTGTTATATGGTGTACTTTCGTCTTCTCGTTGAACTCGTTTTACAAATTTTTTTTGTGTAGTAATTAAGGATTTGAATGTTCCTTTACTAACCTCACTAGTTATTCATAGGTTTTGTCCTTAGGATCATCAGGACTTACCAAGTTGTAAGTAAATTGTAAGGTTTTGGTTCTCATTGTATGAACAACCATTCCATTTTCTTTTTTTCTATTTCAGAAACAGATCCTATAAAAAATTCCATACTAAAGAAGTTCTCTAATCTTTTAATGTATAAATCCCAAGATTCCGTATGTTCCAAGAAAGGTTCCATCGAAATACTTTCCCTGGAGGTGTTTTGAACTTTGGTTGTAGCCTGCATAATTTTTGAAAAATTTTCCAAAAATCCTTTGTTGTTCTTCATCCATTTTTATTTGTAAATAGGTTTATCTTCGTCGCCACTAATAAGTATCTAATAATGATCTACTTTTCAAGTCAACTCTATATTTTCAACAACTATGACCATAGACAATGACAACACTTCAAACTCTACCTTAACCAGTTATATGGTAAAAGGTACAAAAATACCGGATGCTGAAGACATAACACTAAAGCCTGATAAAGTTATTTTCAATGTAGAGAAGACGTTGGATTAATATTTTTGAATCTGTTGATTTATAAGTGAAAAAATATGTACTTACTGCTAATCTCCACATTCAAAACTGCATACACTGTGTCCTTTGTACTTTGGTCTTTTATAGCCAGTTTCAAAGGTAACACCTTGTTGCTTTTCAAAAAATCGTCTGGCAATTCAGCAATCGTAGTAATTGTTAAAACTTGACTGGAATATTTATAGGAGAAATAAAGTGCGCTATCTAAGCCCAAATCTGAAAAATTACAAAACTTTGTTTTTCTCTATATTTCTTTCTGGTTTACATCCGAATTCTTTCAATAGATTATAAAGGGTTTACTCGTTTCTCTCCTAATAGGTACCTACCATTGGATATTTGTACTAGAATATCTTCATCACTCGTTGTATTAGTATTAAGAGTAATAGAGGGAGATTTAAATGACCCATCTTGATAACTACCAGTGAATAGTACTTGTTGATTCTCAACTTCAATAGAGCTATCCCTTAATTTCCTTGGTAATGATATAACGATTGTAGCATGTCCAGAGGTTCCTGAAAGTGAAATTCAGTGAGAAAATGCCCATATTCTCTTAGCATAATGGTAAAAATACACATCATATCATTTGTGTTCTTATTCAGCTCGGAAAATGCATACTTGTCACCAATTATAATATTTTGAAATTTTTGTTATTTTGATATTTTTAATGTATGTGAATCTTGGGGTCAAATTACGTTGTACGAAGTTCACGCAAAATGTCTATAAAATTCAACTCAATAGAACTTTTGCCAAACTGTATTTATTGTTAGTTAATATAAATATACCTCCTTCTGATTCCGCTTGCAAAGTCAATGCAATACTTGTAACATTATCCAGTATATCTTCACCCAAAGGTTTAGTGACCAAAACCTCTTCTTTGGAAGCAGATAAATCAAAATAATCGATGTATTCGTCTTTGGCTACAAAGAATAATATACAAAACCAAGCTTCAATGGAAATTAATTAATACTCACGATCAATATAAATTTTAGGAGCTGCAAGACTATCAGCGGCCAAAGATATTTTGTCTTCCATTTTCACTTCTGGATCGACCGAATTTTCATAAGTACCGTAGTAGGTGAACTTCTCAAATTTGGGAATATTTGTAGGTAATAGAATTTGTAATGTTGATATTGCTAAAGTTTTCTTATCACTTGTTCTTATAGCCAAGAGATTTGTCACTAATGTTTCTTGTTTGGATGTGATGTCTGGTGGTAGCAAATTGGTAACTTCAATAGTCCATTTACTGGCATTTGGTTTTAGCGAAAAATATTCAGTATAATCTGTAATAGTTTTTTTTAAATTTAATTATGACAATAGAAATTGATCTTAAACTATACTAGTATTATTTTAACGTAAATGAAATAATCCAGCGAATTACAGAAAGAACGTTTATTGGAATCTGAAATCACTGGTGCTAAGTTTAATATTCATGCGAGTATAAAAATATGGAATTGTCCTCAGTAGCAGGAAGATAACTATTGACCATCACAAATTTACCTTTTAGTTTTACATCAACTAAAGATGTGTCAATATTAGTAATAGTAATATCATCAACATTAGTGATGCTTCCTTCATCAACCGAATAGGTTCCGGAATAAATATCATTCGCAAATGATTTGAGAGGAAGTTTTAAAAGTAAAACCGCAGTTTTAGTACTTGAAAAATCTTCATTGGTCGCTGCCAAGGTTATGATTAGTTCTTCATTTAAATTCAGGATTGTAGAGTTTAAATTGCTTTCTACTGTGACGGAGCATTCAGCAGTGGCATTGCAGGTGGCTTCAAAAATGTTTTCGTATCCTAGAAGCAAATATATTTTTAATGGAATGTTACCTGGAAGATTAGGCATTATACCTGTAAAAATAATTTGAGTAAAAATAGTACTTCTGACTCCAATTACTTGCCCAATAAAATGTATATCATACTCATTTCCATCAGAGCTTAACTGGTACTCAGCAACAAATTGGTTAGTGTCAAAAACTTCCAAGCTGGGTAAATCTAATACCACTATTGTAGTTGCACTTATTTTAGAAGTAGAACTAACAGCTTTCACAAGTATACTGAGTTGGGTATTTGAATAAATAACTGTCTCATTTAATGGATTTTTGACTGTGATAGTGTAAAAGTTAGTAGCTGAGTCTTGTAAAAGTTCCAAATAGTTTTCATAACCTGAAACATAATTGACTCAAGTGTGAAATGCGATGTGCCATAATCAAACTCACCTTCACACAGCAACTGCACTTCCAAATCATCCGTTTTTATTATTTTTATCCCACTGTCATCAACAATAATTGTACCGTGATTTTGTTCATCAATACTATATGTTGCATGGTAAAATTGCTTTTCAAATTCCAGTTCCAGTGATTTATCAGGTAAATCTAAAACTAGGGTCGTGTAGGCCACACTGGTTTCTGTACTTGCGGACATTATTATTAAAAGTGGCGATTTGTAGTCGAGAATGGTGCTGTTCAGATTTCGTGAAACTGATATTGTGTAAGATGATTCTGAATCTGACTCTATCTTCAGGTTATGGTCGTAGTCTGGAAAAATTATCAAAATATCGTCGATTTTTATTATAAAAAGCTAACACAGAAATATGCATTTGTAACGAAAAATCTGGGATTTTATATAATAGGTATATAATAATGTGCTGTAAGTTTTCTAATCAATAAGTAGGTATTGGCAAATACCATAAGATATTATTGAAATATTCAAAATGGGATAATTATGTAGGTATAACTTACCATTGACATTAAATGTAACTGTTAGATTATCTGCTGCGATTATATGAATTGCTTCAGTTAGAGTAACAAGACCCTGAGAATCAACAACACTATACGTCGCAGAATAATATGGTTTTGCAAATCTCAAAGCTTGGCTTTCCTGTGGTAGAGTTATAACCAACACTGTAGATGCGCTTATGTCAGAATCACTATCAAATGCCGTAATAAGTATTGATAGTTGAGATATTGAAGTGTCGTTTAGTGGAGATTTCACTCTTATCGAGTAAGAGTCACCTGTAGAGTCAGGGATTAGCTCAAAGTTCTCATCATATCCTGAAAACATATATATACTGCGTTTGTTGGCACTAATAAAAATTTCAATTATACCTTCACAAGAAAACTGCACGTCCAAAGTATCCGATTTAATTAAACTTATACTGACATCATCCAACACAATTCTCTCCTCACTATATATTGCATGATAAAAAGGTTTTTCAAATTTCAGTTGTAGTGATTGATCTGGCAAATCCAAAACTAAGGTGGTGTGTGCCACACTGGTTTCTGTACTTGCGGCTATTATTATTAATAGTGGTGATTTAGAATTCAAAGCGGTGCTGTTTAAGTTTTGCTTCACTGTTAGCTTATAGGATGATCCCGAATCATGTTCTAAATGGAGATAATCCTGATATTCTACAAAAAAAAAATCCAAATGGAAAGGGCCTACAAACCTACCTTTCGTAGGTATGACTTGTATTATCACCGTAAAGGTGAAATAACACCAAGAAACATTACACAGGGGAGAATTAGTACCATTCTCAAATGGAGCAAAGTATTTGGGAGTCATCCTGGACAAGACTCTAAACTGGAATGCTCATTTGGAAAAAGTGAGCCAAAAGGCAAAATTCTCGCTTTTGGAACTGCCACAGGATCTGCGGAAAGACCTGGGGAACAATTCCAAAACAGATTCACTGGATCTACACCATGGTTATGAGAACAACGATAACCTATGGCTCTGTAGTATGGTGGGGCAAGGCGAATCAGAAAAGGGTTCAAGCCACACGCCGTTGCCTGGCGATAACGGGAGCGTTGCGTACCATGCCTACAGCAGCTATGGAACTCCTCATAAACCTGACTCCACTCCACATATACGTGAAAAGGGAAGCAATGAGGTCAACCTATCGGCTGTACCCATGCTTCAAAAAGCACTTTGGAGCCTTGGTAAAAACGCATCCATATTTCAGGCCGAATTGCTGGCCTTCGAGCTTGCCGCGAAAAAGCTGCTGGAAAAGCAACAAACGCACAAGTCGATAAAAATATTTTCTGATAGCCAAGCTGTGCTGAAAGCATCCATACATTGCACGTCGGAAACAGTATGGAACTGCAAACAAGCCCTGACCCAACTATGGGAAAAGAACAACGTTTCACTAGTCTGGATACTGGGACATACCGGACAAGAAGGCAACGAGAAAGCGGACCAACTTGCAAAAGCTGGATCGGAGCTTAACTTCATTGGACAGGAGCCAGTACTGGGAATAGCCCTGAATACGGCTAATCTCACAATCTCGAGCTGGGCCAATACAGAGGCCAAACAATATTGGTCGAGACTACCAGGCATGAACCATGCAAAATCCGACTTCTGGGAATGGGGAGGAAGAGCCTCAAAGGACTGGACGTCCTATGCACGTGTCCAACAATAGGCAAAATCAAGCATTCTGTTTTCGGGGAGTCAGCTGTTCGACCCGAATACATAGAGCATGCTTCGCCCACATTTACCTCCACCTCACCTTCATAAAAAGGGATGGACTGATGGGGGAAATATAAACTCGGAGTGAGCCACAATAGACCGTAGGTCACAGTGAAAGGGCCTACATCGGACCACTCACAAGAAACCTAACCTAACCTAAGAAACATTTCAAACTGAGACATACCTACAGATAATCAGATAAATTTGTGGAAATAATCATTTAACTTACCCTCAACAATAATAGTAACATCAGCAGCATCAGCTCCTGTGATAATAATTTCTTCAGTTAACACAACAGTATCATTGTCAGGGCCTTGGACATAACTGCCGGAATAATACAAACTCCCAAAATTAATTTCTACTTTATCCGGCAAAGTCAAAATTAACACAGCGATTGTTGCATTTAGACCTGTTTTAGATGCCGTCAACGGAATTGCTAGTTTTCTGTTATTATTAAGAACTTCATTAGTAAGAGGACTCAAAATCGAAACTTTCCATTTCGAAGCATCTTGTTCCAGTTTAAAATTGGACGAATATGCTAGAAAAATATAAGCAAATAATGATACAAGAAATGAAATTACTTTATCCACTTACATTCATCTACTTGGATCTCGATGTCACCAAAATCTGAAATATCTACAAAGCCAATGGCACTATTCAAATTAACTACCCATTCACTATTTTCTTTCATATAAGTGGCTGTATAATAGGTACTATTAAATTCGAATGCATCTACAGTTCCAGTTTTCAAGGAAATCACAACCGCAGCTTCTGATGTGTTACTGGTACTTGATGTGGCGACAAGAGTGAAAATAATATTTAGGTTTTCGTCGAAATCCGATTCGGATAAGTCACCATTTGGTGTTATTTTGTAGGTGGTTTGGTCAATGGAAAATAAGGATGATTTCTCTGAAAAGATGTTTATATGTATATACGATGGCAGAATAAATGCAACATGGCATGAGAGCAGTATATTTAACTTAGTTTTCACTCTTACCAAATATTGCAACACTTGTAGCATCCTCAATACCAATTTCTTTTTTCCAGGAAATTTCTTTTGAATTTACATCAAATGTTCCACTATAATGCTTATTAGAAAATTTTGGAATTACAGGGGCCACGTTTATTAAAAGAGTAGTTTTCGCGGTTGAATCAGTAGTAAAGCTTAAACTCAGTATTATTTGGGCCGGAGCATTTGAAGGCAGATTGAATGATGAAAGAGACAAAGTTTTTGAACTATTGTCTAGTTTGATTGTAAAGTAAGCAGAATTCTCTAAAATGTAATTGTTTTCATTGACAAACTAAACATTATAATTATTTTAAAATTTACCTCCTTCCAGCGTCAAAGTAGCCTCATTAGCTTTATTTGAATTAATCTTAATATCACCATTGCCTGGAGTCATGGAAGTTGCACCATCATAATTAAAGTAATAATAAGAATCATCAAATGAAGGTGAATCAAGACTTGTTTTTGCATCTGGGGCCATGGTAATTTCAACCGAGCTTTTCTGGTTTCCTGTGTTCTGGAAACAAGGTTTAGTCCAAATTTTATAAAACAATTCAACTTGCCTCAGCTGTAAGAGTGTAAGTCTTTTCTCCATAAAACTGCAAAATATTTTTAGCACTAAACACAGCCTTGAAGTGTTTATTATCTACTTTGGAAGCAGTGACTTCAAAATCATCTGGTACTATAGTGAATGTCATTGCTGTGTTAGCAAAATTTGTATCGGTTACTGTGACTTCATTGCCATATACAGTGATATCTGTCTTCTGCATTATGGGTATGGGTACTGAATAAGGATAGGTCGTTGTTGAGAAGGAAGGTGTGTTGTTGAATGAACATGTAATAGCTACAATTACAGGCTGAAAAAAAAAAAAAAGAAGTGAATCATTTAGTAATTATAGTTTTACTCCTTAGGTAGGAAATTATAGCAATATTTATGCCCGGTTTATTAATTTCTAATCTGATAAGCTGTCAGGTGGATAAAATTGAAATCTATGATCCTATATTGCTGGTTTAGTATGTATTTCTTTTAGATAGTAACCAGAAAGTTTATCAGAAATAATTTAACCGGGCCTAAATGTTATAATTTCACTCCTCTTCGGAATGATTATTCGGGTCTCCTTAATTTTAGTAACTCTATTATTATAGTTGAAATAAATCTTTTTATATTTCATTTCCATTGTATCGTTGTTAATTTTATTCAAGTAACCCTGGTTTTGACCAATCTATTCTCTTGTCTATATAGGTATGAAATAAGTTTGATTGATTTTCTAGCAAACTAATATCAAGGCATAGTTGAGTAGGTATATTAAATTACATAGATGAATAAGCTAAAGAAAGCCTCGTGAATTCAACTCCTATAAAACTTTTAATCGAAACTAATTAGTATTAATATTGGGTATGATAATTTACACATTTGAAAAAAAAAACTAATAATAAACTTACTGAGGCATTAGGAATATCTCCACACTTGAGGGTAACGTACAGAGTCATCAAAATTAATTCTGCACCATTGCTGTCAGCATCGCTGCCCAAATCTCTGAAATCCGCAGTCGTTTTGAACGAAAGATGAGTGTTATCGACTTTCTCAAATTCAAAATACTTTTTGGCGATAGTCGTATCGACAGCTGATACGGTGTCTTGTACATAGAAGGATTCATATTGTGCTAAAATATCAAATATTTATAACCAGACTATAAAATAGCGTTATCAAAGAAGCTTAGGTATAAGAATAGCCTACCTGTACTTAAAACGACTATATTAGCAATTTCTTCTTCAATATTGGTATCATTGATGTATATTGTTTCTTGATCAAACAAGCAATCTTGTCCTGAAAAAAATTTAGTTAAGTACCTATCTGTAATGGAACATCAACTTGAACAATTATTATATCAAAGACGATAAGAATTCAACAAAATTCAATTTAAAATATTCAATTTCTTATACGAGCTTCTACCCCCTATCCTCAAGAGCTTTTTTGAGAGATTGATGTGACTGTGTTACTAGACAATGGAGTGCACTTATTGTGGATTTGCCGGCTTGGTAGGCAAATTGACTTGGATGGAGCAGTCTGCTATTCAGAATTTCGCTTCTGATATATTAGTCTACAAATGATAAAATCTCATCGTATTGTTGGGGATCGGGAGTTAACCGATGCCACGAATGTTGAGTACCTGGAGTTTTCCGCGCGCTTCAATATCGTACTTCGATAATTAAAACTCGGTATTGTATAAAAATGTTTAATTTATTAAAATTCTCGTTGAGGGGGGACACTTAGTTAAGAATGTTGAGAGGCAACCCGACTGTTCAGAGTGGAGCTCGGAATCTGAATCCCTTGCCTTCAACTATCTTCCACCAAGGAAGGCAAGTTTGGACCTTCCTAAAGAAGAGTATTTGACAATTTCCTAAAATTAACTTATCCTAACAAACAACATATTTTTTTTTAGGTGCTAAAATGTTACGAAACGTTTGTACAATCATAAACCTAAAATTAGCCTAGGGGTTGTAATTCTCGCCATCTGTATTATAAAAAAGGCCTGGGAAGATACTATGTCTTTGACGGCCATGGGCTGTATTTGACTTAGTTTTTATATTTACAACAATTGGGGTTTCTGCAATAGAGGTACCGACTTTTGAGAAATTGGTATGAACAGGACATTGGTTATATAATTATTCTCGCCGGCATCGTCTTTAAACCCTAACAGCATAAAGTATTGTTATAATAAAACTTGGGACTCAATTACACAGATGGAGGAACTTGAAGAAGAGAAAATGTAGCGAACATTAGGATTATTGATAATATAAGTAATAATAAATTCACTAGTTCACAACAGTATAAAGAAAATGCAGTGGATTGGGCACTGTACGCATGTACTGTGAATTTTCCACATAAAAAATATTCCCATCAGACTGTCAAGAAGATGAATTTTGTGAAATACTAAAGTTTGGAATAGTCTTATTCGATTTGGGAAATTCTTATAATCTTGTTACATGTCGGCTTTCATCTTCAATCAAGCCCCAAATTTAGTTGAGGACGACTTTGGGTTTTGTTTGTTCGTCATTTTAAAATAAATTCCTGTGTTTTTTTTTCTAAGATTAGTGGCGCTCGGCATGATCAATCAGATAAAATAAAATAAGTTCAATCAAATTTGACATGCAGAAAAAATAATAACAATATTTGTATCAGAAACTCATTCCTAAAAACATGTTTTTCGTTCAAACTAGAGGGACATTGAACTTTTTATGGAAAACATGTTTTGACAATTTTTCTTCAAGTCATAATCTAGAAATTAAAGAAACTTAATTTCAATGAAGAAGTTTATAATCCCAAATCATAGACATTTGAAATTTGTTTATATTGGATTAAGACTGACTTGAATATTGAATTATCTCAGACTCAAATTAAAATAGGTAAGCATATTTCCCATATCCTAATGAATTTTACTTCAAAAACAGTAGCTACTTACTTACAACATGTTAAGATTATTTTATTTTTGATGTGCCTTTTCAAATTCTGGCATGGGTATTGCTTCTAGTCTAGTAGTAATCAAAATTGGTTGAAAATTCAGATAAGCATAAGTATAGGTACCTATACCTAATTTGAATTATAAGTCTTTCAATATAGACCTCCTTAAACTCAAGAATAGAGCATTTACTTAATTGGACAATCTATTAAAATTAACTATTATTGGAGATAAGGGAGGAGCGAGAAATGTTCAGCCCTTGAAATGATCCTGATCCTGAACTCAAAAGGTGTCACTGACCATTAAAGTGTAATAATTCAATTTTCTCTTCGAGAATACCAACTGTAGGTTATGGGTTAGATAAATAAATCACATTGGATTTTGATGAAAAGAGTTCGCTATTTGCTTTTTTACAGCAAATACTGTGAAAGCTACTTATAAGTTTGATACGGTATTGAGCGCTATAATCTGCCCTTGCTTTTGGGTATGAATGAGTGTAAAAGCTCCTGGATCCTTTTTTCTGAATGCTCCTGGTCACTTTTCTATGAATGCGGTATATTTGCCACCCAATATTAATATCAATTCAAAATCCTCGAAGAAAATTCACTTCACAATTTAGATGCTCTGATGGAAATACCTTACATTTGAAACCTGCTCGTAACTCTCTCCCGAAGCCAAACCTTTTTATCTTATTTTTTCGATATGTAAATTAAGGTTATTTTGATTCAATAATTCATTTCATTCATTTTCCCTCCTACCAAAATTTTTGTTTGTTGCAACTATACTTCCATTTGTGCTTTGCGATTTTACCAAATATAAACTATTACAGCACAAGACACGCCCCCAACTTCGTCATCGTAAAATATAATCGCTCTCAGCGCGATTTTACTAAATATATACTATTAGAGCACAAGAGACACTAGCCCTTGACGTAATTGCAAAATATAATCGCGCTCAGCACATTCCTGCAAAATCTAATCGTTTTTAGCATGACGTGGCGGATTTAACCTCAAATTGTACTGTTTTGTTAAAAGGTAATTATTATTGTAAGTACTCCCATTAAGAAATATTTAAAATGTTTCCCTTTAAACTGATAATTTAGCACTTAAACTAGGGAGCAAATAATTTTCAAACACACACATTCCATTTAAATGTCGTTTATGTCAACATAGTCTATTATAGAGCTCTGCAAACTTATTAGTGGGGTTTTAAGGTGTAACGCTTCTGGGTACTAGGAGAAGGACATATACAGTCACGTTATTAAAATAGGTAGGTATGCAATATTAGGCAGTAGGTATCCTAATATTAGGCGCCTTATTTCCTCTATGTGCCATCACAACAATTTTAATAATAATAAATAAATAAATAAAATAAAGGAAAACTAATAAAAGTTCAGCCGACTGCTCGCAGTAGAAGGAAGATACAAAATGTTAAAATGAGAGGAAAGAGAATTCAAAGTGGGCGCCCATTTATAGGAATCAGCCACGTTGTGCTGTCAACGATTAGATTTTGCAGGATTGTGCTGAGCTCGATTATATTTTGCAATGCTAACGTCTCTTGGTGCTCTAATAGTATATATTTAGTAAAATTGCGCTGAGGCCGATTATATTTTGCAATGACGAAGTTGGAGGCGTGTCTTGTGCTGTAATAGTTTATATTTAGTAAAATCGCAGCCTGGTTCGGTTAAATTCAGTGAAATTATTTTTTCTACGAGCGTGCGGGAAATGGCTCCTCCCGCACGATTTGCTATGCGGGAATAGTTTCTTCACGCACCAATGCGGAAAGAGATTTCTTCCCGCACTCAGTGCCGGAAGAGTTTGAAATAATCATGTGACATGGAATTGTTTGTATTGTTGATACACCTATACTTTTACCTTTAATACCTTTAATACCTCACTTTCAATTCAACTTTAGTACAACCCAATTGCCATGCCTGGATTAAGAGGGGAACTAAAGGGGGGAGCTGCAGCCCTGGGCCCCGCGGTCCAGTACTTTTGAAAAACGCATGTTGAGGCGTTGAGGCTTATGCTAGGTCAAGGGCCCGTGAGCAAATAATAAATATGATAGATTGGTATTCTTTTCTGAACTTCTTAAAAATTCAGAAATTCCAAGATTGAAGTCATGTAGTTTGCTTGATTTTTTAAAGTACATTTTGGAAAATCGAATTATTGATATACGTTCCCGAATGTGTAGGTACACTATTTTGAGACTTTATTTGTCAATACTTATAATTAATTGTGAGTCAGAACGTTCTTTTTCAAAACTGGCTTACATTAAAAATAAACATAGAACAACAATGCAGAAGGAACGCCTGTCTTCATAACATTTATGTGCATAGAAAGAGACGTACTGAAGGAATTAGAATTTTCTGATGTCATACAAGAATTTGTTAAACTTAAGTTACGAAAAAAGATATTTTGACTTATTTTTGTAAAACATGTAGGTATAGCAGTGTCTTCTGTTGTATCAGGAATATAGTTTTTTTATATATTTTTTTGCACTTAATTTATGAAGGGCCCCCTAAAACTTCACCAGCCCCATGAAACCTTAATCCGGCCCTGCCAATTGCAACCTGTTCATTCCAGTAAATACATAACTGCCAGACCACTAAATCTCTCTTTTTTTTTAAATTTATTTACTCAGATACTTTTTTTATTTCATTTTGATACAGCTCGATATATTGTGTACCATAGGTTTTAAGAGAAAAAGCTGGAATTCATTTATTTGAAGTTCATCCTAGTAGGTATATTGTATAATCTACTGCTGAGTGAGGATTAGTGAATCAATCTGTCCTTTCTTCATTTATCCATTCATTTTTCTCAAATTTGAATACAGTACTGTAGATAGTACATTGTATCCTATGTTGAGAGCTGGAGAGTAATTTGAAATTCAATTCAGTAAAATGGTACTATAATTCACTGTTGAGCGAAGCTTTACCAAATCTCTTTTTTTTTTCTTGATTCATTATTTATTCAGTTTTCTTTCAAATTAATATCAACTTCCTCTACTTCTAGATTTTTGATATCTACTTTATTAAGTTTCAGATTTTACTTTGCTGATTTCCTCATTGAAGCCATAATAGCATGACATTTTTCTTGCATGGCATCCTCATTGCAAGTGAGAATTTAACTTCCTTACCAAGGAACTTTCTAGAAAAAGTGCTAAATTGAGCATAAAATTCAACTTGCCTGATTAACACTAGGTTCTATACAAAAAAAAAATTGTAACTATTATATGAAAGTCGGTAAACTTCATCTTTTTTCCAACACTACTAACCAACCCCTACATATTATTATATTAATGAGTACGGTAGATTAATAAATTTTTGATTGTTCAGGCATTAATAATTCATCTTAAATTCTTACCTTTTACAACACAAACATTTTCTGCACAAAGCCACAAAACCACCACCAATAAAATGTTCCTCATTTTAACACTGGTCACATATTCGGGGAACAAATTCATAACTGATTTGTCCCAGTTATAAAAATATCTAATCAGCCCAATTTATTGATTATCTTTTTCCTGTACTTTATTTATGTAAAAATAGGTATGTGTATTCAACTATTTAAAGTAAATCAATGTATCGATCAAGTCTTTGTTGAAGATTAGCCATGTCAACACCTGACTAAGCTAAGGATAGAGATAGAGAGATCAAGTTTTCAATTATTATCACCGTCTGAATTTTTACTAATCTAAGATATAGTCATATCTTTTTGGAAACATTAATAATTTTTAATTTAATAAGGATCTGTGAGATAAGTAAATACGTTTGCAATAGCTATGCAGAAAACTTTTGTCATTTTTGGGTTTTTTTTCTGGATGGAATAAGGTTTTTGAGTCAAGTCTTAAGAGTGAAAATCTGTTCAATCAAAAAAATCAGAAATGATTCAAAAGCAAAATAGTATACCTACTCTACTTTCACTTTGTTGCAAAATTGTCTCATATAGTACTTAACTTGACTAAAACTAAAACTAAATGCAGGTTTATTTGTTTAATGGTTTTTATCCCTTTATTGCTACAATGAAAACTTGTCGTGAAAAAGAACTATTTAATTAAATATATTTTGGGAAACACAAGTGTTTTTATCAAAGCGTCAACACACTGATAATTACTCATACTATGAGTTTGTATTACTCTGACACGGTCAGATTTATGTATTACGAGCGGATCTGCTATTGTAAGACAATGAAGAAACCCGAATTCTCAATCATTGGGCACTACCACCAATTGCCGTGTCAGAGTAATACAAACTATGAGTAATTAACAGTGTGTTGAAGCTTTGGTAAAAACACTTGTGTTTACCAAAGAAATTTCAAAAGTCTGTCTAGAATTTCTTTGATTTCGAAAATGTATTTTCAAAAATCTTGATTTTTCTAATTTCTGGCACAATAGGTCGTTTTCGGTTTTTGCCATGTTTGACTATTAAGAGAGGGAGCCACACGCTATTAAAGATCTATATCTTTCTTACCGTTTGAATCTTCTGCAAACCTGTTGTGTGTTTTCGCCTATATTTTACTGATGAGAGCATAACAAGCTCGAAACCGGTCTGCAATTGGTGGTAGTGCCCATTGATTGAGAATTCGGGCTTATTGAATGAAACTGGTTTCTCTTTTGTCTTACAATAGCAGATCCGTTCGTATTACATAAATCTGACCGTGTCAGAGAAATACAAATTTATAGTATGAGTAATTAACAGTGTGTTGAAGCTTTGGTAAAAACACTGGTGTTTTCCAAAAAATCTTCGATTTGTTATACTGTCTAGAATTTTCTTGATTTTTCTAACTATTTAATTTTCTGATAAAATTTATAAGTTTTATCAACCTATATCTAAGGAACTTGAGTACCTACCTATAGGTATTTTTTCACAAATGATTTTATCTCTAACAACATATATCTACATATTTTCCCAATATTTATCTTCTATAATTCCTTATCAATTATTTGATATTCATTCTATTTGCTTGATTGTTTTTTGTAAAAGGATTAGGATAACAATTGATATTTTTGGGGTATCTATCTATTAAAATTGGTTAGAATCTGTTAGATGTTTGTCCATTTTAGCATAAAAAATAAAAATTCAAAATATTATAAAGTAAATAATACAATACAATAAGTTACACAAAGTTTAAATTGTTGCATCATCGGCCACACTAAGATTATCCGTTTTAGTCACATTAGTTTCCACTTGCTTTATAGCTACTCTGGGTGCAAGGTTCATCATGCTGGCCCACTGTCCTTCACACAATTGATCAAAAGTCATGTCTTTCAATAAGCGGCCTCCTAAATCACCTGGGCCTCTACATGACAAATCGGAATCCCATAGCTTGTTCTGGTTTGTATCAACCCAACTAAAAGAAAATTTAGATATTTTATATTTTGTATCAAGTTAAAATTTTATCGATTTTGAAAGGTTTATTTTTTTAATAGGTAATAATAATATCATCTTCGATCCACTTAGCTTGACAAAGCCCAATTCAGGACTTCAAATCAGTTAGTTATGAGGTAACATCAAGAACTTGGGGCATTATCAACAGTGAGAAAAATACGCACTGATTTAGGATCAGAGTTACGAAAAAATTGTATTCGAATGGGGAATTGAATGTAATATTTTACTTACATAGATAAATACAATATGTTGCAGTCACAATGCCATGGATTTTTGGATAATTTTACTGATACTAGACCACTGAGAGAATCAAAAATTTTTGCAGGCAGGAAATGAAATTTGTTGCTATCTAGTTGCCTGAAATAAATTTTACATGTAAATACATCAATTGAAGTTAATATTTCATAATCATAGTTGCAATTAATGCAATTCCACCTTATGCAGTTAAGGTTGAAACCGTCATATTAACTCAAAATCATTTTTATACATACAGCTTTTGTAAACTTGGTGTATAAACAAAAATCCTCGAATTAACATCCTTTAAAATATTATTATTTACAAACAAGGATGTTAAACTGACTAATCCATTGAACGTCTTTTCTTTTAGTTCTTCTAAATTATTAGAGAAAAGAAACAATTTTTCGAGCTCTTTGTTTCTAATGAAAACATTTTCCGGTAATTCATTTATAAAGTTTTGTTCTAGATGTAGCTCCACTAGGCTCGTGAGACTTATAAAGTTATTTGGACTAATCTGAAATAAAAAAGGTAGGTTTTAGAAAATCTATTGAAGTTTATTTAGTATCAACGAAGAACATGAAGATTCGATTCACAACTATTGAGTTTCAGAAATATCCACTTACCTGTGAAATTTGATTGCTAGTGAGCTGTAATATTTTCAGATTAGTCAACTTGCTAAACAATTTTTCCGATAGATGTGTAATTTTATTTTTTCTAAGATTCAGTAACTCTAAATTTATAGGTTTATCAAATATTCCTGAAAAAAATAACTCGTTACATTAATTTGATCATCTCCAAACAACAGTTAGTTATGAATTGAATAAGTTGTCTCACAGACAAATGTGAATAGAAAGAGTTGTGAATCGTACAGTAAGTTGAGTGAAACAGTTTACTTGATAGTGATATAAGTTTGTGATTATGATTAAGTTTGATTTGAGAATTAAGTGGTACCAAGTGCTGTAATGTTTTATCACAGAATGCACATAGACTATTGGAAAAATCACAGCAGTTCAAGGCATAGCATCTTTAAATCATGCTGTTTTACCTGTGGGAAGCAAAGTAATATTATTTTCAGCCAAATGCAATCTTCTTAAAGCAATCAAATCCTCAAAAATAAATTTAGGCAGAGTTTCTAAGTCATTATTGCTCAAATCAAGGTCTTCTAAAAACTCCATTTTGTTGAAAAGTGTTTCTGGAATGTCTCTCAGATTGTTTCTAGATAAATGTAGCAGTATCAGGTTTTTACTATCTCTAAATAAAGTGCCTGGTAGGATTTTAATCAGATTTGCTGAGGCATCGAATGTTCGCAAATTCGTGAGGCCTTTGAGAAGATCGAAGTGAAGTTCTTCGAGCCTATTTTTGTGTAACCTCCTGAAATAAACACAATCGAGAGCGTTTGAAAAATAAATTAGATGGTTATACTTACAAATATACCAAACTATTCAATTTTATAAACACGTCTGAAGGAAGATAGTCAATTTGATTGTCAAATAAATCCAATTCAGTTAAATAACTCAAACCATTAAATGCGTCTTTGTTTAGAGTTGTCAATGAATTTATTCCTAAATCTCTAAAAAGATTTTTTAAAAATCATTTAAATAAAAATATATATATATTATTCCACTTACATAGCTCTAACGTCATAGGGCAATATTTGTTCAGAAGGCAACTGCAATATTCCTTGTTGCCAACAACTCAAAGTTTTAGTTTCTGGTTTACATTTGCAAAGACCTTTCGAACAGTCCATCCATTTTCCATCTTGTTTTACTATTTCCCATACTAAACAGACGTAATTTGTGTGATACTATAATCTTGGTACACTTACCTGGTTGTTCCAAAGATCTTAACCTCCTTTCCAATTTTTTCAAATGATCATTTGTCCTATTTCTTTCATCCATCTTATCGGCCAATTCAGTCAACTGAATTAAACTTTCCTCTAAAGCTTGACAAGCATTCATTTCACACACGGGATTATCATGATGATCCCCCTTAGCGAAATGTTTGAGGCAGATCATGAGCAAAAAATGTATTAATATCAACATTTTTAAAATAGTCGCCACTATGAAGCAAGACAAGTAGGTTTATACATTTCTATCTAATACTTACTGGTTTCGAGGACGATTTAAAGTGTTAAATTTTTATTGAATAATTTGATCATTTATTCACCGTGAAACGATGATGTTTGTTACGGAGGATATGTGTTTTTTTCTTGCATGATTTCGCAACTTTGTGGAATTGCTCTTAACTCCTAGCATTTCGTGAAACAGTTATTATTGTAATCGACGAAACAAAAATTTATATATATATATATATATACATGTCGTTTTAGAACGTCTTTCTTCGTTGCCCGACACCTAATTTCCATCCTTTCCTATCGTCGCAATCCTCTGATGAGCGATTTCTTTCACTTATGGACTTTTGTATGGTCTTCTGTTATTCCAGTTTTGGTCTTCCTCGTTTTCTTCTACCTGCTGGTTGCCAGTGCAGCATTTTTCTGGGCCACCTGTCATCTGGCATTCGTTCTACGTGTCCGTACCAGGTAAGTTGTTTCTTTTCAATGTCCTGGACTATCGTACCTTCTATACCCATTTGTTGTTTTATATTGTCGTTCCTTATTCTGTCTCTTCGTGAGATTCGCATGGATCTTCTAATAGCATCCATTTCAACTGCTTCCACTTTTTTCTTTTGTCTGTTTATAATTCTCCAAGTCTCGGCTTCATATAGAAGGCTGCTCTTTATCATTGTCTCGTATATATTAAATTTGCTCTTCTTTGTAATTTCCTTGCTCCATAATATTCCACGTAGGCATCCTATTACTTTTTTAGCTTTAACTATTCGCTTTTCTATTTCTTTCACGTCTGTTCCGGTGTTGTCGAATATGATACCTAGATACTCATATTTTTGACATTGCAAAATTTTCCGACCATCGTCCACTTCCGTTCTGGTTGCCTACACATAGATATTTTGTTTTATTTATATTAACTCTCAGGCCCCATTCTTAATACTCTTCTATCAGCTTTCTAATCATATATTGCATGTCCTCTTTGTCACTGGCCACTATGACCTGATCATTTGCAAACTGAAGAGTAAACAGGCACGTATCATTTATCTCTATACCCATTCCATGGATCTTCCTCTTCCAATTTTTCAGTGCTACTGCTACGTATATTTTGAAAAGCGTAGGACAACATCCTTGACGTAGTCCTTTATTTACTATAAATGTGTCTGTGAGTTTCTTACCAATCTTAATTCTTGATTTTGAGTCTTTATATAGTTCTTTAAGTGCCGTTATGTAGGTGTGATTGATATTTGTGTGTTCTAATACCTTCCAGTCTGGATACTGGGACTGTACGGTATGCTTTTGGTAGGTCAACAAATGTGGGGTGGGTTTCCAAATATCTAGCAGATCTCTTTTCCCTGACTTGCTTTAGGCTAAATACGTTGTCCGTACCTGATCTTCCTGCTCTAAAGCTGCACTGCTCTTCTTCTTCTTGCTCTTTATAATCTTCTTCAATGAGATCACGCAGGATTCTACCGTATAGTCTGCTTAGGGTGCTTGTGACTGATATGCCCCGATAGTTATTGCAATCCAGCTTATTTCCTTTTTTGTGAATGGATGATATAAAAGCCGTTTTCCAGTCTTGTGGAACAGGTAGTCCATTTAGGCATTTATTGATAATGCATGTGAGACCTTTGAAGAGCTTCTCAGTTCCCCATTTCAGCATTTCCGAGTATATCCCTTCTGGGCCGCTAGCTTTACCTGACTTAAGATTCTTAACAGTCTTTTTTACTGTTCCTTCAGATATCTCAACTACTCCTCCATGTACTTCAATATGTCTTAGAGAATCTAATATATATTCCGGTCTACTTTCTTGTAATAGACCCTTAGAATGTTCTACCCATTGCTCTGGTTTAATAATCTGGATATTATCTCTGTCTTTTCCTGGGTTTTTAACATTTGATATAAATCTCCATACCTCTGAGCATTTCCTTCCTCCTATGTAGGTGTTAATTTCTTCACATTTCTTATCCCATGATTCGTTATTAGCTATAGTGATGCACGTTCTTAGTTGTCTTTTTGTGCCTTTATAAATGTCAAGGTCTTGTTCATTTTTTGTTGTTAGCCATTTCAGATATTTTTGCTTCTTCTCTTGGACTAATAGCTCTATCTCCTCGTTCCACCAGTATTTCTTGTTGGTATTTTTTTCCTTCGTTCCTATTGCTTCTTGGGTGGCTTCTATTAGACTCCTTATAATATTCTCATAGAGTTTATTGAAGGTATCGGGTCTTCAAAAAAAAAACAATCGAAGATTGCTATGGTTTTTTAAACGTATGTCTTAGCAATATTTTTCTTTAATTTATTAATGAACTTTAATGTCAAAATGTCATGTCCTAAAAATCCTGACCAATAAAGAAACAGTAATGCGACGTACGTTTTCGTAATCAAAGCAATCTTCGATTGGTTTTTTTTTTGAAGACCCGATACATTCTTCAGGGTTCAATAGTTTGCTGTCGACTCGCCTCTGATATAGAAATACAGTGCTGTCATCTCTAAAACTGTCAAAATTATAATTTGTTGTATTCACTGTGTCCGTTAGTATGGCATTGGTGTTTTGTTCCTCTGGGTTCTTGTTCGTTTTCCTGAATTGCAACTTTATTTTGGCTCTTACTAAAAAATGATCTGACCCGCAAGTTATTCCTCTTAGGACTCTTACGTCGTTTATCTCTATGTTTGTTTTTTGTTTGCTTATCACATAGTCAATAATAGTTTTCAGGTTACGGGTATTCTGTATCCAAGTGTAGCGGTGAATATCTTTGTGTTTGAAAAATCCATTATTTATTCTAAAATTGTGGGTCTCACAGAGATGTATGAGCCTTTGGCCATTATCATTGAATATTTCTTCTCGAAATGGTCCTACAACTGAGCTATTGTTCGTCCTTCCCATTCTTCCGTTGAAATTCCCTAGCATTATGATTTCTCTATTTCTTCCAATATCTACTAGGACTTCATCCAATTTGTCAAAGAACTCCTGCTTAATGCCGACTCTTTCATCCTCTGATGGAGCGTATAATGGTGATGTTATTAGCCATGTAGTTTCAAGTTGAACGTTAGGATATTTTCATCTACAGCTTCCCAGTTGTTAATTTTGTTTTTCCAGTCTTTCCTTATCAATATGGATACTCCTCTAGCTGCTCTCATGTCCTTTGACACTCCAGTAAAAAGGTGAATATATTCTCCAACATTTTTGGTGCCATTTCCTTTTTTCTAAGTTTCGGTTAGTGCTACTAAATCGATGTTCAATTTCTGAATTTCTGATGCAATGATATCCGTTTTCAGTCTAATACCTTGCACATTCCACCTAGCGAGATTCGTAGTCCCTTTTCTTTGCCGTGTTCGTCGTCTTGGTGATCCGTCCAATGTTCCGAGGCTTGGCTTAGGTTTTTTGGTAGTTTTGTATTTTTCCGAGTATTAAAGAACCAGTCTAATGCCTCAACCCCCATCCTGGAGGACCGGGTCAGTTTTTGTTTCACGGTGGGTATTTTATTTTCCCACTACCCTCTGAATCTGTTGGATTACAGACGCAGCGAGCTTCCCCTAATTCCCATAGGGACGCACCCGATGGAGGTAACTGACAAATTCCCACACGGGAAATTTAACAATCAAAAAAAGTACCCGTTGCTTCTCAGTTTGATGTAGGAGATTTTTTGAGGGTGACAAAGGAAAGATGTTGATGCACTAAGTTTAAGTTGGCTTCAATACCTCTGATGTTAGAGAATTCCATTATTAAACTTGAAGTAGACTCCCCTGGAAGGGTATTTTAACTCCGAAATTCTTTGCTCGCGAGGGGTGGTACTCCCTCGATCGAAGAAAAGCTCTTCTCCCACTCCAAGTAATGTAAGATGATAACAGAAGATGGTTGGAGTTGGAGCAGATAGGAAAGGTAGGAGAAGAAGAGGAAGCACTCTCAAAATAATGTGAAGGGGCTCGGGTAATTCGGTGTCGCCAAGCCCGTATTCACTAAATGCGAACCAGGAGATAATTCAAGCAGGAATTAACTGTATCAATTATTAACCCAAGTTGATTAATTTAATTTTGAACCAAAATAGATGAACTATTTTTAAAACTTCATCTCAATCAATTATAGCTTAAAATTTATCTTGTTGGTAAATAAATATTTCTTGTTTGCATCCAAAGTAGACAGCAGCCGTTACATAAAATAAACATTTGCGACGGCAATAAATTACAAGAATTAAAGCTACCGCTAGTCAAGAAGTCATATTTACACATATCAGATAAACAATATGAATAATAGTTTGTCAAGACTTGGGTGGGCTTATTTGATGAGTTGATTTCAGTCAGAAATTATGATATCGAATCATTAAAATTTGATGTTGAGAGAAAAAACATGTTGCTATATATAAGTACATATATGTTTGATAGGTAAGTAATAAAATATTTCATTTAAAACCTTCACAATGTATGGGCGCGTTCTTTTTTCCATCAGACCTTCACCAGGTGAAAACATGATGCCACCAAGCTCCAACAGAAATTTTCTGTGATTTCTCTGGTGGTTTTGCGTTGGTAGACTACATAACCTTAAAAAATTAGCTACTGCTTCTTGTGTGACCCGTGTAGTCTTTGATTTGTTTTTTAGCTCACTGGTGGATAATCAGAAAGCTGATGACGTAACTTTTATCTACAATGATTTATCATATTCAGTAAAAAAATTGCAAAATAAAATTGAGATCCTCTGGAGAGTCATCTATTTCGCTTTGCAATTAATGTTCTTGGCCCAATGGCAGCTTTGCTCGCATTGTCCATTTCAGTTTTTTTGAAAGAAGCACAGATTACATACCATTTATAGATATTTTCGCTTTTTGGTCCACCAAAGCGTTCTTTTATGTAAATTGTGGTGGATATGTGGTGCTTCCAACAATGGCATCAAAGAGTCACGTGACAGAAATCAGCTGATGCAACAGTAAATTTTTGGTGGAAATCAACATCAAGAACACGCCCTATGTATAATATTATAGTATTATG